AAAGCGTGCGATTCATGAAATACCACGGTTATTGCTGACAGCCTAATTTTATAGGATCTAGCGCAGCAGCACCTACGCACAACGGGTGTGTCACGAAGAGTAGTCCGTTACATCGCAACATCCAAGCGATACATTTATTGCGCCACCGTTGGTGTGCGTTTAGAACATCACAGGATGAATCACAGGTAAATGCGAGCGCTTTTATTTTGTAAGAACAAATGTGTGCTGTACCGGAAGTGTTGCTGCCTCACCAAATGCTCTGCGGACGTGATCAAGGCAGAATGCATTCGTAGCAGCCCTCACTTCAATCCTGCTGTTTCGTGTCCGGCTCACGCACCCTGAACCCGCACCTAGGACAAAACGAGTTATCATCAACGATCACATTTCTGCAATTGTGGCAAACTTTGACATCACCTGCACTGAATCCGCTCCGGCACCTGTCACATCCGATAAACGGGTCAGATGTCTTAATAAGAATGAAAGGCACGTACAGAAACGTAAGATAGGTCTTCTTGACCAGCTTTGTTGTTTGAGTGGTGTGGTAGCAAAAGGCACAGTGAATATTCTCCAACGGATTCTCCGTCTCAAGTTTTTCTGTGTATGTTACAGGTACGCATATCAAGCACTGGCACATACTTTCCAGCTTTTATGACCAACATTTACATTTATTGATGTGCAGGGACCAATGGCAGTACCAAACTACGAACTAATCCGCTCTGTGAGGTGCTGATAATGTAATTGACCAGTCATGGCGAGCAATGATAGAACATGGGCAGGCGTGAAACAATTCTACCAGAAACATCAAACGACCGCGATAAATCCTCGATTTATTTGCAACACCGTTTTTAATTCTGATCTGAAACCACGTTTCTGTCACTTCGCACTTTTTGTGAATAACGAAGTTCTGAAACAGGCATCGTGCCATGCGATCAAAAATGAATGAAACAAGTCTTCCTGCAAAATGACGTACATTTCCACCACAGGTGCACCCGATTCTGTGAACAGTGCTAGCATGCGCCTCCACCTCTCCCAATCAATTATTCATTCCAGGGTAACACACCTACCTGTATTACCACGTTAGGTGTTTCAACCTGAAATTCATTTTATGAGGCGCCAAATCAAATTTACTGGAACAAATGAGGCGATCGCAATCAAAAAGATTATCGCCATGTTAAAATAAAGTAAAGCATCCTTCTCTAACGAGAAAAGCAGCAGTGCAGTGAAAGAAGAGTTGGAGAGTTTGTTGCACGTGACACGTACAGAGAGCAGCAGTATGGCTCGCACACCACAACAAGCAAAATGCGTGGTATTGTGGATCAAATACTTTTCACAGAAAGACCGAAGTAACAGCTCATTAAAATGTCCTGTACACCAACCGTTTTGGTATGAACTTCGTGCTGTTCACCATGAATAAGGCAGCCGATTTCTGCAAGCACCTCTGAATGGACGTACTAGTGCGGTGCAAAGGCTCTTTTACCTGCAAGCAGAATAAAAGGAACATTTCTAGGCAAATGCACTGTGTCTGAAATGAGGACATAAAAATACACCGCTCTGAACTGGGACACTCACGGCTACGGTAGCGAACATTCTCCACAACTAACGCATTTTCTTCTCAATGAATATCACACCGTTATTCATTGAGGAGAAAGTTACATCGAATCGTTCATAATTGTTTTACCTTGCAATAATTCGTGTGATAGATAGCACTTTTGATAAGTGAAAAGATGGATTTGACATGAACAAACATAATTGAGGTGGCAATCGTGATACAGAGGGATGTGCAGTGCGTATTACCGAGCGAATTATTCGTTTATTTATGTAGCTGTGCTTTTCTCGCAGTCCTGTTTCGTTGAAGCGCTAGGTAATAAAATCAGCACGTGCCTGCTCTGCTAGTGCACATCCTAATGCAGTGTATGAACGCGAGGTAAGCCTTTGCACTGCTGTTCAACCGTGCAGTTCCTAGCAGTCGTGTACCGGCCGAATCATCCTTACAGCACGGCCTGTGGTATGAGATGGTGTATTGTTGAGGCACGAGCTACGATACGTATTTTGAGATGTGCGCCAAAAATATGCTCAAGTTAGGTAGAGCATGTCATTCATCATCGTGGATCAATCACAAATGCGATATGCAATTGATGTTTGGCAAGTTCCTGTTTTACCAGTTGAAATGAAGTATCAGTGATCCGATGAACATTGAACCATGGCCCATTTGATTATCAAATCATCAGAACACGTGTCAGAAATCACCAAAAAAATTATTTTTAAGGATTTTTTGCACGAGGGGCTCAATGGCACCGAAACACAAGATCTTAGGAATTTACGTGGGCAATGAAAGAAACCTGATGTACATGGTCTACAATGAGAGGTACGCTGTTGCGTTTGACACGACAGACGTTAAAATCCTTGAACATGCACTCAAAATCGATCCGACATCGATGCTCATGGAACATGAGCATGTTCTCAAGTGCGAAGCAAAGTTTGATAGGAAGCTGCTCGCAGTCTTCACAACACACCACCACTGGGACCACAGCCATGGCAATGATGAAGTTATGTTGCTGACCGAGAACGTGTTCCACGGAAGGAACTTGGAGGAAAAGAAGTACTACTTTGAGGACTTTGAGGTTTTTGCCCTGGCCACCCCGTGCCACACAGAGGACTCGTACAGCTTCCTGATCGATGACTATTTAATCCTCGGTGATACGCTTTTGTACTTGGGGTGCGGTAAGTTCTTTGAAGGAACGGCAAAGGACATGAAGGCGTGCTTCGAGAAACTCAAGGAAAATGTGAGACCGGAGGTGATTTGCTGCTACGGGCACGACTACGCCGATACGGGCTATAAATTTGCATGTGAATACTTTGATGTACCAAAAGACTACCAATCGAAAAGGTTGCTCACGTTTGGCGAGGAGCTCGCCTACAACCCGTTCATTAATTTCCAAAAATTGGTGGATAGAAAAGCAATCAAGGGGCTGACTGAGTTGAGAACGATCAAGAACCGATATAAAGGAGAATAATTAAATTAAATTAAGTTCTTCTGGCGATGTGCCATGCGAAGATTAGTAGCGCTAAATGCATCCATGTGCTACACTGTTTGTGATCGAGCACTATCAAATAAAGCGATCTTTACCGTGTGAGTGTTTCTTGTGTAGTACGTGCCTCGGCAGCGAGCGGATCGCGTTGTGTCGTGTGTTTGTTATCGTCTTAGATTGGTGAAATACGGTTTTCAAGGCAAAGGAGTAAATTGACAGTATGATACGGGTCAAATACGTTGCCTGACATAGTATGGGGGATTTATTTGATGATTTGAGCAGAATTAACCACCGTGCTCCGGCGTAAGATGCAAAGTAGCGCTTTTATTTGATGATTTGAGCAGTCCCGTTTTCATGAACAAAAGACCGAACAAGCCATGGTGTGCCAACTCGCCATGTAAAAAATATTGATAGTACGGTGAATGGTGAGGAAAATAAGAAGAGCATCAGGTACGATACCTGGCGTAATATTAACTGCCTACAAATTTAATGGCATGTACCACGTACAACAAGCACGATAATATAACAACGATAAATAACATTGCTAGACCGTTTCTTTCAATCTACGTATATTACACTGGCAGCACCACTCAAACACTCTACCTTCACCGTATTCTCCTGCTCTAGCTCACCGTTTCTCCATTGAACAAGTCGTGTGCACGTGGGCCCAAGCACCAATTCGCACAATTTAACCCGTCCAACTCTGATTTCGAAGAGCTGCTGTTTATCCAACGGGTTAGTTGCTAAGACGTAGCTCAGCCCTTGCATATTCAATATGCACACCTTGGGCGTATCAGAAAATTGATCAAGTCGATGGATGAACGTTAATCTGTCGCTCGACCAGTCAAGCACGTTCTTCCTGGTTTGAAAGAATTTGTCTTTGAAACCGCTGGTATTGAAACTGAAAAATGAACCGTAGCGTTTAAGCGGTGTGATGCCATCGAAGTAGAACGTAATTGGTAGTTCGTGGGGCATGGGGACAGCAAAGAAATTGAGAACCTGGGTCTCAAACTTGCGCGGGTATATCCAGCCGTTCAAGCAGAAGGCGTTTCTTATGAACACCTCCCTATACCCATCCATACTCTTTTTTTGTGTAGAATTATCACCAAAAATGAGCTGTTCAAGGCTTTTATCGTGGTTTACTGTCTCTTTGCTGCTCGCGCTGCGTTTGAAAAACAAAAACGCGGTTTGTTCGGAATCGCTATCAATTTTTACGGCCAACGGCTCGTCTTTATTTCCTATCGCACCGACTGATAGCTGCTCATCCACCAATGAGTTAAATCGGTTGTTCTGGATGTTTTCCGTGATACAGAGATCCTTAGAGTCGGCAGCTGTCGAATCATCATATTGTGCAACCAACTCGCCAGAAATGCTTGCAACAATTCTTTCTGCCCGCTTTCTCCTATCAAAAGCAGTACCAATGCCAGTTAATTGGTAGCCGTCATTCAAAAATTTGATATTTTCTAAATTAAGTTCTCTCGCCGTAAAATTCTTCATTTTCACTTCCAAACAGCTCAGCACATCATCGGCATTAACCTTCACACCAAGAGACTTCACCACCATGGCACTCAACCTGTATTCGAGGGCAGACGCGCAAATATCTCTGCTCGCCTCCTCATGCACAGCGTAATCACACAAGGTAGGTCTAATAACAAAGACTAGGGTGTACGTTCCTTCTTCAAACCGGCAATCAAACTTGATAGCGTTCTCACCGTATTCAAGCAGTCTGTAAAACTTAAATTTCTCGTTAACTTTTATCGATGCCATTCTCGCCTTGTTCGAAATCACCTTCAACACAAACTCGGTCTTTTGATACGCACTAAAAATCACATCTCGTTCCTGATTAACAATCTTTAAGAAGTGCGCGTCTTCATTCACACGTATTTCCTTACCAAGTTCGCATTTCAACTTCGCTGTCCTTCTCGGTATTTTGAACGAAATGTTGCGCACTAAAAACGATGCCTTTGACCGGATATGAATATCCGTGCATCCTTCACCTTTTCCTACCCTGTACTCCACCGATTCTTCGACCGTATTGTCATGCTCCAGTATCTGTGATTTGCTGTCATTTTGTACACCCGCGGAATCCATCAGCTCGTGCACCACCTCCACATCCTCAATATCATCATAAATCCGGATTAATAATTCCTCATCATCGGAGAGTGCACCATCATACGGTAGAAGATTGTTCAGATAGACTCTAAAAAGTTTGTAATTTAGTTTTACGCCCAGAATAATACCTGGGAATCGCTCCAGAATATCCATCAATTCAAAATTAAGCCTGGCATTGCTGCGATATCGTTGTAAGGCGTGCTCCAGCGCTTTATTACCGGATAAATTGTTCGTTGCCGTGCTTACAAGGCATTTCAGGTGCAATGTACTACCCAAAAAATGGTTTGCAAGTATTTTTGTCGCTTTTTCATAATATTCCGCGTTGTACAGCAATAATGCTGCACTGTACAGCAGAAATATCTGCTTCTTTCTGTGTGTACCAAGGATATTCATCATGTTTGCCATCTCTACGCTCAGAACGATGTTGATGTACTCGTTCTCAAAGTCGATCAGATGGTATAAAAATGCATAGTGTGTGTAATTCTCGGTCATCTTAGAATACAAGACAATGAAATAAACGAGTGTAAGGCGCTCTATGTTAATCTGATTCTCTTCGTCCTTGCCTGTGATGTAATTGAACAATTCTGGATCGAGACTGAGCCTCTTGTTCCGCATCATCTCGCAGTACACCCTTTTCTCGTTCTTCGCGAACAGCCTGCACGCCTCCGTGTAGTTTCCCTGGAAAAAGTTTGCATACGCTTTTTCATCGGTTTTCTGCAGGAAATCGTAGAATTTCGTTGGCTGCTTGAGTATGCGATTGGTCTCCATCTCAAAAATCTCTTTGAATGCATTTTCGATGGCTCTGGAGTTCGTTCTGCCGTTGACCGCATTCTCGTCCGATCGCTTACCATCTGCGTTGCTATTATCGGCAGCCGTGCCAATGTTCGCTGTATTACTGCCCTCCATTCTTATAGACAGGTAATACGTTTTGTTTTTGTAAAGTATCCTGTAATCCTCTTCCGCATCGTCCTTTATATAGATGCTAATACAAGGCAGTCCCTTTTGCTGATGGATCAGGAATTCTTTCAGACACAGGATGTCGATATTTTCACGCCCTGCAAGCTGTTCTCTGATCAGGTCAACCCCGCGAGTTGCCGAACTCAACGGATAAAAAATATTTGGGTATTCTATCTTGGTGTTCACCAGCTTCTTGTCCAGTTCTATTTTAGCTCTAAACCTGAACACTTCATTGAGCAGGAAACTGAGATCTTCGTGGTTCATCAGGGCTCCACAAATTGCCATTCAAATTTGAACTGATCCGAAAACGAAATGTTTGGAATCCTTCCTGGACAAGAAAAAGGAAAGATAAAACATTTGCTCAGTAAAAGGCAAGAAAATTGGAGCTAACATCTTCAACATGGGCCTGTACGCCACCATACCGTGTATTACGGTTCAAGCAGAATCACCTCCATTGTTAGTCACACTCTCTCTGCTTTGGTTCTTTCACCACGAACTGGTGCACATGCTATTATACGAGCATGCCTACCAAAAATTATACACGAATATTTCCGCTTATGAGGTATAAAAGCGGAAATAACGTACAAATACCGCTATGAAATGGAGTAGATCGCTATTTGTAGACCGAATTAAACATTTTGTACAGAAACTGCGGATTAGATATGTACCAGAATGTAAGTACAATCTATAACACGTTTTTATCCTTGGACACCGCTCTTTATTTTCTGTCGTGGTGGTGTATGCCATGAGTTCAGTGCCATTCGAAGCCACAACGGATCATTCTATGAGTATTATTTAAAATTATGAGTAAATTTATTTGTTCGTTCGACGGGTCATTGCTACTCTCTGGTTCAGAAAGAAGCATTTAAAACAAAAAATACGCCACTGTGCTGTTTTCATTACTATAGAGCGCATATCCGGTCATTGCTCATCAAACGCAGATAATAATTGCAGTTAAACATCCGATTCAAGCTCTGGCTTTCTACAAAATTGCTTTGAAATCATCAAATTTTACAATTTCATGATCTCAACACGCAACACAAAAAATTACCAAATACTTTTAAGCGGTGTACACGTGTCTGGCAAAGATGATGTTGCAAAAGATGCCGAGTTGTGTGTCTGTGCATCGTGCTGTTTTATTCAGACGAGAACAGATGTAATCTTGGGTCGCTGCAGGATCAAAAGGGAATGTGTCATCATCCATTCGCAGAATCGGAGCAAAATCGTGCGCATTCCTTTCTGAAACACGAAATTACGGATTCATTTCGGTATCTGCCCATTTCCCCTGATTTTACGTCCGAAGAGTGTGATAATGGTGAAATTACTACTTTTTAAAAGTTTTATTGGAAGCTGCCTTAAATTAATAAACATTTATTGTCCATGCCTACTTATTTACTCAGATTTGGTGTCCTTTTTCTTAGAATCGGTGGTGTTTTCATCCTTGTTTTGTATTCTGAACTGCCCATTGTGTATGGTCGTTATGTCGAGCATCGAATCGCAGCCACCGCAGTTGTTAGCCTGTCCCTCAACCGAGTTGGTCTTCTCCTTCAGCATTTCTAAGCACGCTGCACACGGATTATTCTTCTTGGGTTGCGGAACTTCACCTGTTTGACTGAGCAGGCCACCGAGACGGTTGAACTTGAACGTGGCTGTTGGTGAGTTCTTGAATGCATTGGATGCTTGCTTCTTCAGCCGTTTGGCATTGTATTTGAATCGCTCCGTGACACCCATGAACACAGGCTGGTTCTTGACAATAATTTCCACAACGTTACCGAACAGCTTGATCGTGTAGTACGCATCCTTTATGACGTTGTTCATCACCTTTCTTGCATGGCATACCATACTTTCCTTGCTTATCCTGATTTTGCAGTCATCCTGCGTTGGCTGCGTAAGTTCCTTGGCGAGCTGTTCAGCCCTCTCCTTCTTCTCCTTCTTTTGTTTGACACACTCCTCCTGAAGTTGCTTGTTGATGAGGTTCCAATTGCCGTCAACACCACGGTTATCACAGTACAAGTTCTTTCCATTGTATCCTGGAATAAATTTCTTAGCATCGCCCTCGCCCATTTGTGTCGCCGTGATTTGGTTCAGCGCGGTCTTCAGCATTGTATTCTGCTGAAGGTTGGCGGCCTGGTCCTGCTTGGCATTTGCCGACGCGGTGAACGCGGTCGAGCTCTGGGTGGCTTGTGGTTGCACAGGTGCCGCAGGCTGGCTTACTGAAGTGGCAGCATAGGCACTTGAAAGGAAGCACATAAACATATTGACTAGCATATTGTATTCTCACAATATTTTTCCTTTTATTCTTTACCTCAGTCATATTTGTTTTATGATGATCCAATGAAAAAAACATCACTAAAACTGTTTTAATTAACACGGAATGAGTTTTACATATGAAACTATTATGACGAGATAGCAAATAAAAACATGCTGCCTGCCACAATCGTGCTTTATTACCACATATGCTTGGAATACCAAGAGAAAAAAATAGTTGCTTTTCCTGCTCATGACACACTGCGTCACAGGGCCATCAGTACGCTGCAACATGATATTTACCTATTAGAACGTGTAGAATGATGGAAAATGCTGAATTTGTGCCCTTTGCAGCACTAATATGGGCGTGGACGTCTTTTCCATATTATACCGGTTTATTTTTGAGAGGAAAAGACGTGATACAGATGACGCCTGAGCTTTATTCTTCTGAGTTCGCAATCATTACACATCAAAGCTTTAGAGCTAGTACTGATGTGTTTAATAAACACGTCCACATCAACCTTGCGATACTCCCTTTGTTCAACTAATATGACATTTGACTTAAAAATGATTCTGAAACACGCGAACAAAACCAAAACAAACTTAGTTTTAACACGAACTCAAACACATGTTACATTCGGTATGTGCTCGTTTGGTTGATCAGGCGTTTCATTGAGCACATGTGCCGAAATATACGCTAGGTATTTGAAAAAAATACGAAATAGGTCGGTAAAATAACGGTAACAGCACAAAAGGAACAAAAATATTCGTCCTTAGTGTTCAGAAAAAATAATGGAATCGGTAAAACAGGCGCTCAACTTTGCTATTTTAGCCAGCTCAGATAACCACACGGATAATTTCTTTGTAAACCTGGACATTAACATTTAGTTCAGTTGTTCAAATTGGCGTATAGCCCTATGAAAGGGGAATCTCTGTCCAATTCATGTGCCAGGTCATGGCACGAAATTTGTTTCCAGTTCAACTAAACAAGAAAAACGAAGTACATGGCAGAAAAGAGCGCGATTCAGCAAAAAGACATGAAATTGTAGTTGAACAGCATTTTATGGTAGGTGACATCGAAAATTCTTCTGTTTTCTAGATACCTTCCATAACAGAAAAAAATCGATCAAATGATGAACAAAATACTTCAGTAATAGTTGTTCTGGCGTGTGCTCGGCAATAAATGCATTATTGATCGAAACGTGGATGCATCTCATTCGCTGTTTCACTCATTAAGCCACCAATATTTGATCAGTGATCACGAACAGCCAATTATGTTCGGCAAATGGCCAAATTATTGCATTGCACAGGAATCTAACGATAAATCCTGAGTCATATTACCACAGGTTGCAATTGACATGAAACGTAGTTCACGGTCATGCCGGCACCTTAGAAATAGGGTCTCATCACAATGCAGTACCTGGAACGAACCAAATAAAGGTTTTTAGACCCCCTGTACAAAAACCGTGTTAGTGGTCGTTAATTTATGATAAACGATTTCGTAGTATTGGTCTTTACGCGTGCCACACATCAATTTTTTAATTATTGAAATGTTGCGTTTTAAATCGTATTGGATGGTCTCTTACCTCCTGCACCGCAAGAAAAGGTGATATTCTGTCCGTAAATTTACAAAGAATTGCTAACTTTGGTCACGATATGCTACCGTTAGCCATTCAACTCCAATACGGCACCAAAGTGATGCTTAACATACTTCGTTGCCTCTTAAAATGGGTCGACACGACCGTAGGAACAAATTTTAAAACTCACATCTCACAAATTTAACGGTGATGCGAGTGTTTAAATGCATAGAAATAAAACTTGAGTGGACAAGCCTTCGAATTTTCTACAAAAACGAGTAAATGAACGTTGCAACAAGACTGGCACAAAGCGAACGTGAGCAATGCAATAAAACGTGCCATTAATTAATTTTAGTTGTACCGCATTAATAAACACGTATTTGGCAGGTCACAGTGTTCAATTTACGGTTAATTTCTGGAACAAAAATTTGATCTGACCGAATCCGGCACAGAAAAAATAAAAAAGTTAGCCAACAAACCTCCCACCAGGCACAAAAAATTCTTAGATAACCAGAACTCACAGTTTCTCCAACAAAAGTACTTTTATTTGCCAGCAAAAATCCACAACCACTTTACTGCTTCAGCAATGAACTTGACCGATTTCAAGCCGTGTACTGTTCACAGTCACTACCCCAGATCACCGGTGGCCAAGCACTCGCATCCACAAAGTAATCATGTGACTAGACTCTGTAACCGTGGTCCGGCATATCATTTGTTCGTTGTACATCGCCTTTTCGGTCAGAGTGTTGCCACAGACCACAATCAGCTATCAACTTCAACTCATTTTTACATGGTGAGACCCGGGCTTTCAACGCGATATTGCTCAATTCGTAGCGTGCTCTTGTGCAGCTCGACCAGAATAACAGTTTACGTCAAAATAAGTTAGAATCCTCCTTTTAATTCACGCTAATACTTTTGCGGTCTTGGTCCTTCACCGATAGCAAAATCGACCCTTACCCTTTTATTCTGAATCTCCTTGTTTACAAGGGCGTCCTTCGCTCGTGTTGAATCCTCGATCGAATCGAAGTAAACAAAGGCAAAACCCCGAGACATATTGGTTTGTCTGTCTTTGACTAGGTGGACGTTTTGATAGGGAATGCTGGGAATGTGGTACTTAAGAAAGTCGGTTAGCTCTTCGTACACAACTGAGACCGGAATACCGAATATTCCAACAACCTTTGACGGAGGTGGACTCTGTAGATTACTTCCACGGCCGCCGCTCCTAGAATCGCCTCGATCCCGATCATAGGACCTGAAACGATCATTGTCGCGTCTGGGATCTCGATCACCCATTCGCCGGTCATCGCCGCCGCGCGGACCACCCCGCTCACCGTAGTCCCGTCGACCAAAACTGCCTCTTCTTTCGTCGTCCACGTAACCGCCTCTCGCACCGAAATCTTGTCTGCCGCCTCTGAAGCCTCTATCACCGCCTCGCCTATCGTCGAAACGGTCATCGTCCCGTCGATCTCGGTCCTCGTAGCGGCTGCCAAACCTACCACCGTCCCGCTTGTCTCTGTATCCATCTCTTGAATCGTATCCACTCTCATATGCTATACCACGTCGTCCACCTTCATCGTAACTTCGCCGCTTTCTCGGGCTGAATTCTCCGCCTCTCTCGAATCTTCTATCGTATTTTCTGTCCCTATCAACCGGTCTGTAACGATCAGACCGACCATTATCATCACTGTCTCGTCGCCCATGATGCCTCTCCCATCCCTCGTTGTCACCACCGGTCTCTTCCGTGCGTATATCCGGTATTTCGGTGAGTTCGTCGGCAAACGACACCAGAGGTTCCAACGATTTAGCATTGGCAGCAAAATCGCCCCAATTATCAGTTTCAGAGTTGTTATCTGCTGGTGTTCGCTCTTTTTTATCAGTTTCAGAGGTGCTATCTGCTGGTGTTTGTTCTTTTCGCTCTTTTTTATCAGTTTCTGATGCGATTTGTTCATTATTCTCTTTCTTTTCTGCGGTACCCTCAGAAACAGCCCGACTCTCCTCCAACGGTTGTGCTGACATTTCCAGGGGTAAGATAAAAAAATAAATTTAAAGCATATCAACCGTATTAGAGCACGAGTCAAGGCAGCCATAATAAAAAATATTGCGGATAAAAATGCTCAGCAGCTGTACAGAATGATAGATACTATTCAGCATACACAAAATACTTTGGTTGCACCTGTAAATAAATCACTTATTTCATATTCCTGTTCAAGACCGTCAAAGTTATTTCTGTGCAGAATGAATATGCTTATCGCCTAGCAATTCGTGTGATATTCTGTTTTGATAAGTTCTATCGGATTAAAATATTCTTCATTTTAGACTGCAATACACGGTGCTACAACTCCTGCTTCACAAAATTGCGGTTCTATGAATTACTCTGGTGACAACAACGCGAATCAACGAGTGTATGGCTGATATACGTGCTATATACTGCAAATATTTGATAAATACCGATTTTACGAAATTCCCCCCCTAAAGCGGTAACATTTTGGCGAAGATATTGAGCGTACGGTATAGCAATGTCTGCAGAGACAGAATAATTACCTAGTAAATACAATTTAACGTGCAATATGACATTGTTCTACCGACACGTATTTGCCGTTACTTTTTTTTTTCGTTATCCAGTTCATATCGGATGCTGATTTCCATATCAGAAATATTTCAATAATTTACCGTACCCGGAATAGAAGCCTTCGATCCATCACAATGAGGTTTTATCAGAATCCGTAATGCCGCTATGAGGGATCAATAACAATTTTTACGTTCTAAGCATTCGTAGTTCGTTGATATGGTAGTTAGGAGAGGAGCAAGAAAGTATGAGCAGCACTATGGAAGTATTTATTTTACACTAAGTCTTAAACCACTGGGTGTGTGCGAACTAGGCAGAGTATAATCAAGCAGATACGCTTGATACAGCATATGTGCAACCATGGCGATCACATTCTACGACAGCATTTAAGAACATACCTGCGGTTCGTAGGTAATTTTGAGCTGGTGAGCGCTAAAACTGTTTTTGGATGATATTCAACACGTAGGCGGTGAATGAGCGTACTACAGCAAAAGAGCACCGTAACTACGGTTCCATCCGCTACTATACGAACATTTTCTAACAAAAATAGCTCAGTGATACAATGACACGCGTTTTGGACAGAGAAGATGATCAATTTATGGACACGGTACAGAGGAAATGTCAATTGATGGACACGGTACAGAGGAAATGTCAATTGATGGACACGGGACAGAGGAAATTATCAATTGATGGACACGGGACAGAGGAAATGTCAATTTATGGACACGGGACAGAGGAAATGTCAATTTATGGACACGCTCTACGTTCACAAATAATTTTTCTACAAATCGAATTAGGACTTTAACCTTGCAGAACAAGTACAAAGACACTCAATTACGTTTTTCTGTGTAAATGAAGATGGATCTTGTGCTGTATTACGCCTGCTGCGAAGCACCGTTCACATAGCTGTTAGACACATTTATACTTTAATACGAGTGGTACTACCATTCAGCTTAACTTACCTTCCTGCCCATCAGATCAAACCTCTCAATTTTGGCCGTACCTTGCCTTTGGACTTGAATCCTTCCACAATATTGCCTACGTACCGGCTCGCACCGCAGTTCTTACACCTCAAGAAGTAAAGCTTGTTCTCTCTCACAATATTCGTGTTCAAAACAGCATCGCACGATGCGCACACAATGAAGTGCTCGATGTACAACCTGAGCACATCCTGTATCTGTGCCTTCAGAAAGTTTCCTTTCATCAGCAGCTTGCCCTCAATGTTGACCGAGCCACTGGTGGCGAGCTCACTGAAAAGATACTTCTTGATGTGATCGGGGTCTCTGTTCAGAATTTTGGCAATTTCAACCAAATTTATCATCGTTTTGTTTCCAAATTCTCTTTTGACCTCCAACGGCAGCTTCATCTTCGCCTGCGTGTTATCGTTGCTCTTCAGTATGTGCATCGCACGTTTCAACAGATTGTTGTATGTAAGCTCGTCCGGCAGGTTCTGTACGTGTTCAACTTCCTTCTTCTTGATGAGCACACTTTTTGCCATTTTCAACTTTTCTTCTCGTTTTTTTCTGAATTCCTGTGGATCAAAACCCAACGGCAACGAATTTCCGCTGTCCGAGTCTTCTGTTGATGAACTTAGCATGTATGGAGGGGCCCGGTTTTTTCAATTTTTAAAAATGGCTTGGCCGTTTCATTGGTTCCTCCAAGCCAGAACGTTTCAAAATCTGCAAACAATGAGCCGAGTCCTACAATTGCGGTCGATGCATCATTGGAAGCGTGTGATGCACAGCTCAAGCACTGAATAGCCTTGCTATTCATTCACACTGGCATGTGAGTTCTAACTGCAGCGATTACCAACGGATGCATGTGCGTGATGTTTGCGCCATGGTATTGGTAATGCGGAGAAGATGCTTTGCAACGGTACCGAATAACACGGTTTTTTATTACAAGTCGTTTGTTGACCGTCCTACACAGCAAAAACATCGAATTAACCATTTTATGGCCCACATGGAGCACCATGACCGCTGCGAGTGTCTCAGCTCGGTTCATTTTTTAGTCCCTGAAAACCAAAAATTTATTATTTTACAGTTGCGGTGTTGGCTGCGAAACTATCCCTGGTACGATTTATGACCTGATAGCATGCTATGAAGAAAACCGTGGCCTGCATTAAACAAAGAGCTGAGGTGCGATTCCATGCAATCCATCGACTGCCGTACATCATGTTCCCAAGTTTTATGAACATCTGCGATAAATTCGATTCGCTAAAATGCTCGTTTAGTGTGCGTGTCAGATTTGCGTGCCCTTTTTTGCTGCTTGCTATTCCTTGCCCGTGTAAACGGCACCGGACGAACATGCGGATCTGCGTGTGTAAAGACCCTCACAAAAACCAAGGTAGAAATTAATACGCGGTGGAACGACGATGCGTACGGTTGGTCCGGTAGTAATGGTGTGTAGATGCGCCACACGCTCGCGCTACGGTAGAAGTAGTGAATCATCACAGCATGCGATCTGCCCGCATCGCCCTACCCGTAAATTTGCAGCTTTGCAAATAGAAAATTAGTGGGCAAGTTCGGTGGAAGGAAACAGTCAACAACACAAAAACAGCATTTAAATCATCTAATTATAACGAAACACTGTTCATTGATCACAGCTCTCTCGGACCAATGAGGAGCTGTGCGTTCCTTTAACTCAAAAACTCTGCCATTTCCCCTTAAAATGATGAGTGCAGAGCACAGAAAGATTCTCGAAATTTTGGAGGGCATCAAACAGAACGTGAACGTGGAGGTACCTTCTGATGTAATCTACCTAAAAACATTGCACGAGATGATAGAGGGTGAGTTGAGCGGGAGAGTGCCAGCTGAGCACGAAACAGCGATACGGGCTGATAATGTGAGTGACGGGCCCGGTGGGGAACATTTGCAGAACGGTGCCGGTGCTTACGCTGAAAACGTGACTGAGAAGGAGAATTGTGCCGGTAACACGGTAATTGGTGCGAAGGACACCGCACATACTACAAAAAACGGTGTTTTACGTGTGTATAAGAAGCAGATAACTCTTTGGCTGCTGGTTCTTCTGAACAATCCCTTCAATTTATCGTTTTTAAACACGCACAATTTCATTTCCTTTATCCTGGATGACCTGCAGTGCGCTGCCCTGTTAGTTTCTAACTTGATGAAAAATTCTGAAAATGAGCAGTTCTATCGGGAGAATGAAATTTTGGGAAATAAAATTAGCGAAACAAAGTACTACGAATTTCTCTACCACCTCTCCAAAAAAATAAAATTATACGATTTTTGCAGCACCGGCACGGATAATCAGCCGTGCACAGCTGCGAAAAGCCATGATGACAAGTACACCGGTATGTCCCATGATCTCGTAAAAAAACTGAACTCATTTATAAAACCGACCGATACCGAAACTTTAAAGGCACTAAAATACAAAATAATAACAAACCAAGGCATGTACAACCGTATAGACAAGCAGCCGGTACTCGATACTCTTTTTCTGCATCTCAAGCAGGGCAGTGCAAGACACTCCCTCACACTTTCGTACTCGATCTCAAAGTTTAACTTTGATGCCAAGGAACTCTTAGCGTGTTTCTATGGTCCGGTTTTTTGTAGAGAAGGCCTGTGGATCAATACACTGCTGATCTTGTGCTTTAAAGTTTTGGAAAAGAAGGTGCACATCAGGATAGCGGATGAGAGCGGTGCTGCTGGCGGGGAAAATGATGAAAAAAAAGGAAGTGGCGGTATTGGTACGGTGAGTAGGACGTGTGATACGAACAACATAGCAGGTAGCAATGGAACAGAAAATTACGGTAACAAATTTATTGCACCTGAAATGATTGCGGATATTCTCCTCAAAACTGTTTTTTTCGAATGCAAGAACAGATATGCACAAAAAATGAGGGAAACCGCACTGTTTTTAATTTACTGCATGTTGAGGAGCACCCTCTACAGCGGCAGCCCCAGCACTGAACATAAAGAAAGCGGTGCGCAAGGGGATGTGCACGTAAGCAATGCTATCACGCTGCAGTTTCTTAGAAGCATGCTTTTGAGCGTTTCTCTCCTTGATAACCAGCTTGAGTGCAGAAGAGCAGCCTGCTCCATTCTCATAGAACTGCAAGCCTATGGCAAAACAGAATTTCTTCCTTTCATCGATTTTTACAGGGTGAAAAGAAAAAATAACGCTCTCAACCTGCCACAGGAATACTACACCGGGCTGTTGAAGCAACGATTGATCGTCAAAATATTCGATCACGACCTCGAAATGCAAATTATCTGCCTTGAATGGATGAAGAAGCATGGCAAAGGCATAAAATTGAGACAAACGATCAAGAAGGACGAGTACAGTCTCTGTGACTTGGTGGAAGAGCATGAATTCCGTGAATGTGCTGCAGGTGAAACAGGGGAGAGCTTGTGTGCCAGCGGTGAGTGCAGCAGCAGCGCTACCAGCGAGTCCATTTCCTACACCACAGCGCTTATAGCGTATCTATTTCTTGATCAAATAGACAAAATACAAATTATTTTTGATAGTTTTGCACTGGAAGATAAAAAATTTGTGTTTTTTGCAGACGCGTACCTGAAAACAACGATTTTTAAACATTTCGATTTCAAAGGCGAATGCCATTTTTACGATATGGTGGAAAACGTGGCAGCAAAAAGCGAAAGAAATGAAAGGTTTGATCACAATGGTCTGTTCAACGTGCGTTACATCGACTCGAATAGAAATAGGCACGTGAGCGATCACAATCTTGTGTTCCTTTTGGACAACGATTTACACCCGCACCTCACCATGTTCTTGCACAGCACGCTTGAGAGCGATTTTCTCTTCAAAAGGCTGCTCAAGAAAAAGAGTCTCAGTTATTTCCTGGCCAACGCGTTTAACACGAAGTACTTTGCGGAGTATTTGGAGTTGGTAAGGGGCATGCTGAGCGATAGGGAGGTAGAACGGGTGCAGATCGGTATAAAATGCGTATACACAATGTATAGGATGTACGGAGGTGCAGATTTACACAAAGGCACAGAGCAGAACGCGAACAGCATCAATAACACGCTAGGAGAACGGAACATAAGTAATTCTGTTGGATGTTGCACTCTTCGAGAGCTGCTTGGACACGCCGTTTCTACCAACCTTAACAACTATACGATTAATTACAAGGGAGACGTAGGACACCGTTGTAGAAAGGAGTGTTTGTTCCTTTTGTTCTACCTGAAAGACAAAAGTATGAATTACTACATCATTAAGTACCTGTTCGACAAGAACAAAGAATTGAGAGAGATTGTAATTTCGTTTTTAAGAGAATTGGGGGTGCTTAAGAACGTAAAAGGGTACAAAACCGTTTATATCAGCGGGAGACGATCATGTGAGGGTATAGAGCATTTGTTGAGCAGTGTTGTGAGGGGTAGCGGAAATGATCTGTGCCATGACAGTGAACTACACGATGAGAACGATCTGCGTGCTGATAGCACTGATTCACGCTACGATGTAAGCGTAAATGGCAATCGAATGAGTACCGGTCACGTACCGATAGATGATAACACGGCATCATTTCTTTCCTCTTTGGATGCTGAGTACAAAAATATGTGTTCAGCACTGAGCAGTGAAAAGGCCTTGTTTAAGTGTGCCTTTCTGAGCTTTGGAACTCTGAAAATGGAGTATAGGATCGGCTTTGCCAAGGCGATTCTCTCCTATTTCGTGAACTGTGATGGTTCAATTTACGAGGTTTTATCCTGGGGCATTACCGAGTATCTGATCGATTACCTGGTGTACGTTTTGGAGGGACAGCGAAGAGAAGTTTACTGCTGTTTGAGAGGCATTCTTAATCTGTTGGGGCACTCTCATCAGGAAAGAGCGGATGAACAGAGCAATGGTGTGAGTGACAGGATAAGGAATGACCAAGAGCTAAAAGCACGGATTAGCAGCATTAATGATGAAAAACTGAATGGATTGAGGGATGAAATAGTAAAAAGAATGCAATGGAGATGATACACACTCCGCGAACGTGGTCACAGCTAACAGTAGCACGCCACTACAGAAGGTGCCATGGTCATGATTTATGGTAAAACAGTGCAAAAGTAACGGTCATTATTTTGCAATGCTTGTGAACGGTCTACAAATATTTTGTGGGCGTTTAAACACCTCTCTATGATCATTGGTCCTCGAACCATAATTGCTTCGGCCATCGAAGGGAAAAGACATCTCGCATTACTTTTTAGTTTATTTTGACCTACAAGATTTTAAATTGTAACATCAACCCGTAAAACATGGCAATGCCACGCATTATGTGCGTACGGCCTAAAATGACCAACGAGAAAGATATGGGCAGCAGGATCGGGATTACGTAGCGGTAGTATTTGGGTAAAATGTAATTTAGAGTTCTACTTTTAGCGTTCAAGAATGTTCCGTTCTCGTTAACACGGCCCGTTCATGGCGCACCAAATTAAATGTTTCGTTCTCGTTAACACGGCCCGTTCATGGCGCACCAAATTAAATGTTTCATTCTCGTTAACACGGCCCGTTCATGCCGCACCAAATTAAATGTTTCGTTCTCGTTAACACGGCCCGTTCATGGCGCACCAAATTAAATGTTTCGTTCTCGTTAACACGGCCCGTTCATGGCGCACCAAATTAAATGTTTCGTTCTCGTTAACACGGCCCGTTCATGCCGCACCAAATTAAATGTTTCGTTCTCAAACAACAACACTCCACGTTCTCATGACCGTTCCTTCCCTTCCAGCAGCTTAAGCACAGCGCTCTCATCCATCATCTTCTCCTGCTCCTTATTCGCCATTTTTCTGAAATACGCTTTTCCAATATTAACACACATATCCACGCTCAGTCCATCAACAACATCGTACTCATCGCCGTACTTGTACGAGTTGTACCTGTAATCTGCCATCACCATCAACCCGTAGTCGTTCTTTCCTCTGACCACTCTTCCAAGGCACTGCAGGGCATGCCTAAGCGCATCAAACTGCAGAAACGCATTTAAATTAATGTTTTGTTTCAAAAATTTGAGTCGCTCCTTGATGATTACGCTCTCCGTGAATGCGAAGGGTACGCCGATGAGCAGCACGCACCGTCCCTCCTCGTTCTTAAAGTCGATTCCTTCGCTCACCTTGCCTCGTGCCACGCAGAACATGATCGCGCCCCGTCCCTGCTTTATTGCTCGCTTGTAGTTCGCAAGCGCGTTTATGCTCTCTCCATAGTTTATGGTCTCTATAAAAATTAGTTTATGCAACTTCTTAATCATAAATTCGCATTTAGAAATTATTTCGTGCATAAACACGTACGACGGAAAGAAGATGATCATACCATCCGGCACAACATCGCACAGGTCCTTGATGAGCGTGGCGTAGTTTCGGATTGTGCTGCTGCTTGCGCGTAGCTTGTACGATGAGCTCAGCAATGCGTGCTCAAAATCATTGGCCAGACCAGCATTGCGCGTGCTGCCGTGTGCATCCGTATTTGGCACGGTATCGTTGCTTTGCTTTATCTGCACTGTCTTGCTGCTCTCCAGCGACACATCGCTGCTCACATTGATCTGGTCATTTCCCTTGGAAACGATGAGCACCTCCTTCGTGCTGCCACGGATACTCACGCTCTTTCCGGTGATGCCTAGCAGTCGCATGTACACATCGAATGGTGTAAGCGTTCCGCTCGTGATCATAATGCTCTTGAACTTCAGGGCGCTCATCGCGATGCGCGAATCGTTGCAGCTGAGCGTAAGCTTGGGCGACAGGCTGTTGTTGCTTAGAAAGGGCTCAAACACCACCGAAAATGCGTTGCTGCCTGCGTACCGTGAGAGCGTGTCCATCATGTCTACAAGCACGTTCAACTTGTCCACGTTTTCGTCGAAAGGCAGTTTTATCATTTGGAAACGCTTCTTCAAGCACGAAAGTGTTCGTCTCGAGATGAACGTAAGGTTCTCCAGGCTGCACAGGAAGTTCTGTGGGGTGTTGATTGTGAGATGCGTGCTCTTCAGCTTTATGCGGAGGAACTCCAAGATTCTTTTGAGAATGCTCAGCACGTGCACGTCCTTTCTCAGATTACCCGGCCACTTTTTTTGGCTGAAGGTGCTCAGCGACTCAATATCGTGCGTCCTATCCGCGTGCTCTTTGTGTGATGCGCACGCATTCACCGTGTTCCCACTGCCCGTCTTTATCATGTCTTCCATCACCTCCAGTCCCTTGGAGCATCCATTCACCACGGACCGGCTAATCTCATAGCTGAACGCCTCCAAACACGCATTATCGATGTTATGTGCCTCATCAAATATGAGAATAGCGTTCATTGGCAAATTTATTTTTTCTTTGATCTTCGGATCAAGAACGTAATTGTACGTGAGAATGAGAAAATTTGATGAGGAGAGCGCCTTTCTTGTAAGAAAGTATGGACAGAACTTGAAGTGCTGGCCCTTCTGTTTGATTTGCTCGAAAGTGTAAATGCCGTCAAATGAGAACGGAACTGATGCATTATTTGTGCTGCTGTTCTCAGACCCGGTGTTAACATGTTCAGTTTTTGGGTCACTACCCGCTGCTTTTGTGCTATTATCCCCAATTTTATCATCATAAACGCTCAGCTCCATTATATCGCTCAGCTCACCGATACTCTCCTCACCGTTTACTTCCACAGACGTATGCACGGCATAATCATCACCCCGGTCCACGTTTTCAAGTATGTGATCGATCCTGTCGTAGTAACCACAGTTACCCACACTGAGCAGCTTCCTACACCCCATCTCAATATTCCCATGAACCTCCTCATTCACGCAGAGATGCTTTCTGGACGTAAGTCCCAGTCCTAGGTACCTCACTTTCACGTGCTGCTTGACATACGAAATGAGCATTTGGAGCTCAAAAAGCGTCTTTTCGCTTTCCTGTACCGTCCTGGTGCAGTACACAAACCTAATGTCATCCTGCATGTGGTAAAGCTGGTACGAAACCGCTGCACTTAGGATACATATTGTTTTTCCTGAGCCTGCAGGCATTTCTATGAATAGGTTGCTTGTTGTTGTGAATGAGGCTATCGTTTCTTTGATGTACGAAAGCTGTTCTGGTGATATTGTCGGGTATGGGAAGTAAATCGGGATACTATCGATTTTGAACATCATTTTTGGTGGGGTGATGATAAAATGGATGTATGATTTGAGCGTTGGTCCGGGAGAAGAGGCCTCAGATCAACGGTGAACGGGCGAATAAATTTGGTGTACAAGTTTTAGGATGCAGGCCCTGCTTTCTACAGGTAAACGGCGGTGTGGCATAATAAAATGGATGTGAGAGGAATACGAGAAATAAAGAAGGAAGGAAAATTGCATGAGCAGTTTTTTACTGAAAATATGCTTGTTTACCACCATGCCATTCAAACACTAAGCGTTTACTTCAATAAACCTAGTGTAAATTGAACAGGTCCACAGATCGGAAGGTTTGTACTAGTTGTTTTGGTCTAACACCTCAAAGGTTAGAGGATTGAGAACAGTCAATCCACAAAGGGTGACGATTCCAAGGTATTCCAATGAATTGAAATCAACATGCTCAGCAAGCATCCGCGCAAAATCAACAGATCCTTTTTCGGTCATGAACCCATCAGAATAGCGCGAATAGTCACGTTCTACCCCATCATAAATGTACAACTCGCGTATCTTCAGTTTATGCTCTGTTATTAACGAATGAATGATGGGTGCGTGGGTGTACCGTACCTGAATTGCTTCAAGCGAAGGCGGTAAAGAGCTGAGACAGCGTAACATTGCCAGATAATTCGCTTCAATAACTAACACTCTTAGATTTGGTAGTGGAATACGTGTGACTGAATGGTAATATATATCCTCGACACTCCAGTACTTGCCACGTGTTGCGATGCACGACAGTTCTAACAGTCTAATACCTGGTGGAAGACAGACAAAAAATTCAGTGGTAAGATTCTCTACGCATATTTTTAGGATTCGCAGATTTGCTAGGCTGCTGAGCGATTTCCAGTTTTCCTTCATAACCACGATGGCGCCCAAATCAAGCTCTTTGATGGTCTCGTGAACGAGCGTGCACCAGAGCGAGTTTATAAGTAAACTGAGCTTCATATAGCTGATCAGATCAAGACGACTGTTCTGTTCATTTAGTGAATGCCTTGAGGATGAAACGGATGAACCTTCCGTATGCTCATGATCAAAAAAGAACCATTTCAAGTCTTTGGCATAGCTCGCAACATCTCCGCTGTACTCGTATCCATCTTCATCGGTAATCTGCAAGTATTCGATTTTCACAAAATTAGAAAACAACATTTCCATTTCATCAACACCGTTGCACACCCGGTGAAGATGCAAATGACGAACATGCACGGGTTCTGCAAATTTGAAACGAATATGCTCCTGGAGAGCAAAAGTTATCTTTACCTTGTCAAGCTGGTGTACCCTGGTAAGATCGATCATACCCGTGCACCGTTCAATAACAAGTTCTTTACAGCTCATGTTCACAGTTAGGGATGATTTCTTGTCGATAAACACGTATTTTAGGTCGATCTCTTCAAAAACATCCCGTAATACCACGTTGTCTCTGAAATTGATTCCTGACAGCTCAATGTGCGATAATTCAGAATGTTTATCCTGGGTTGATGAGATTTTTAGTTTCATAGTCCGATCAATAAAGACTACTGTCCCGATGAACGATGTCATATCCAATAAACCACGTGATTCCGATACCTCAACGTGCATATTGGTGCTTGAGAAAACTATACTTGTGCCCAAATCCAGCTCAACCATATGCAATATTACACTTCCTATGTCCGCATCAACAACTATCTGATCGAAAATCTGTGCACTCTTAAGCTCAAATAAGCTCTTTCCAGGCTCTTTCTTCTCGTAGTGCAGCTTACTCGTTGTATCTGTCCTCGTCAAAAGTATTTGACCGAAACCTGCTATACCCGATAAGTAAACGACCCCATATACGGATATCAAGCTAATGCACTCGTAATCATTCTCTGGTAGGAAGATCAATGATCCGTTAATAGCGGAAGAACAAATTTCGATGTGCTTCTGCCGACCCATGAATGTTAAATCATTGTAAAACGTATTTTCGTTGTATTGTACACTCGCTGCATTCTGATACAGTTCGGTTACTGACCTAGCGAAAGAATTGTTAAAATTTGCTACTATTTGCGCTGCGTTGCAGGGCAAAGATGCGAGAAACTCGGCTGAACAGTCTGTGCATCTGATGACACTCAACGAATCAATACGGCTAAAGCATGACGAATCAATTGCTGTTGCAAATCTATTGAGCTCTAGAATGACCTTTTGAACCCTTCCACCCATTGAACATACAACATCAGATATTAGACCAATAGCGTGCACCAAAGTTTCTTTTTCTGATCGAGGGCTATTCCTTAAACTTCTAAATCCGATGCCCCCATAATCATCGCTATCACTCCCTGATGTACTATCGCTGCTATTACTCCTTAGATACTCACAAGGGTCATCCTCTTCCAGCGTACCCTCAATTTCTTCTATACAAAGGGTCAAAGGATATTGAAAGTGATCATCACTCAACTGTTTCACAAGGATATCGGCATTGTTAACCAATCTGTTATAGCTTATTTCCACGTGTGTGAACATAAACCTGAGAGAAAAATCAGCCAATTCTGCAACTATGAAGAGTTCTATAAACTCGTTGTCCTGATACCTAACCATAATCTCATCCTTATCACTAAACGAATAAAATTCGAGAATCCTATTAATAATTGACAAGAAACTATCGGAATTGGTACTTGAACTGAAAATGTGCGTTGATAGGTACTTGATCTTCTCATCAAATTTGCTTTTGTCCTGCGCAACATAGCATCTTTTCAGTTCGGCTGTCAGATCGGAGTTTTTCTGGAGATGAAAAACTACGGCTAGTGCACACAGTGCTTGTTTGTCTTTGAACGGAAAGAGCTGTACGAACATATCGTATATATCATCAAAGGTAAAGTCAGAAGCGGTGTGTCGTGATATATTCGAAATTTTCTTGAACAGAGACATCGAAAGCGGCACTTTCACGATCGTAAATGACATGTCGTTTACATTGGTGTCGATGAAATCTTGGTATGACTTACACTTACTCCCGCCCAACCCGAATATTTCACCGATGTAGCATGTAAAATGCTTTTTCCGAACTTCCGCAGTATTCTCTGATCCCTCAAGAACCGATTCGCTCTTCACCGATATCCTCAGTTCGCGAGGAACAGAAGAAACAACCTGGGTTGATTCACACGTGCTCAAATAATTTTCCAGCCCAGTCTCATGCAGATTATTAAATACGAGATACTCTTCGTTCTGTGTGTGCAAATTTGGAACGAACACCAGGACATATTTCATAGCCACCTTGATATAATTGCATACGTCAAATTGCATGGTGCTGGTGATAGCTCGCATATTTATACTTTTGTGTTAATTAATAATTCTTTTTGTGAGCGCTCATTTATGAATAATGCGTATCTCATAGAGCTAATTTTCATGTCATTAGACAGAAAAGGCATTTTAATATTATTTGATTGGCCTCATTACTTCTGTCGTAAAATGGAAAAAAACATGGTTATTGGCAAGAAATGCATTCTTTCTTCAAAATAACCTTTTCATTTTTAGCATTCAATATCTCATATTTTACCTTTTGTGGTAATGAGTGCAAAATAAATATTTTGTTGAAGATCGTGGTTCTATGTGTATTAGTCGATCACATCTCAGAAAAAGAGTAAAAAGGTTTGATATTTGGACCGGGTGAGAAAGTAAAGTATTTTATTCTTTGGGAAAGCGAGCAATTTTGATAAATTAGCCGAAAAGTTTCTGCTTCTAATGTATTCGTATTACAGCGCTTATTAAGAAAATTAAAATGTGCTTTAAGGAGTAAATATCATGAAGAAAGGAGCTAGAAAATTACGGTGCTTGTTAAATGGAAGAGTGATATTGTAAAAGTCTGTTAGTACGAACCTGCTATTCGGATAATAAACCATTATTAATATTTCTGACAGAGTTGCTTATAATTGCTACTTAAGCAGGTAAATAATCCGGTATTGGCATGCGAAATGATAATTTAAACAACTACACGCCTGTTTCAGTATAAAACGTGAAATTATAGAATGATGAGTGCCAATGATACGTTGCAGTTTAATTGTAATTGTTATGGGGAAATGTTCTATTTACTGCTGATATCGGGATCGTAATTTTAGTAGTCTATCTCTAACTTTGCGCTCATATTCGGGTTCTTGATGGCAATGCCACAAGATGATGTTCCTTTATCTATTTTTTACCATATTTCAATTGAATTGTCACACTAAGAATCCTCCACTATTCTGCTATTTCTCCGTATTCTACATTTTCTTTGTTTGTGAACGGTTTTCTACACCTATTAAACGTGGTTTAGTGAACACATCCTCATCTCATTGCGCTAAACTTTTTTGTTAATGCTCCTTTTCACACGCTCTCTTATCTTTCCATTCCCATGGGGTGCAATCATAGTGACCGAATATCCGCTGATACGCACTCTAAAATTTCCTTTATTTTTTCGTTGTCTTTTCTCCTCATTTAACACATTTTGCGCAATTAACTCATTTCTTCCTTTTAATTGCTTCAAAATGCTCAATGCATGTTATGTGGTGTACAATTTTCTTTTTTTACCTAATTTTTTCATTATTTTTCTACCTAAAGAAAAACTTTATTTGATGTTGATATGAACGAGTAATAAGTCCAAAAAGTTTATTATTAAGTTCATTGCGATGCTCAATTGTTATTTATTCTGGTGCTATCATGTTTCCTAGCTCTCCTCAGTATCTGAAGAACTGCCGTAGCTTATTCCATTTTGAGCATAATTTTTATTGCTTTACGCCTAAAATGATCGATCAAAAACCAAATTTATGTTTCTTGAGCATCTGAAGTATCACAACCTTATTCAAGGTTTTGTGATCGATCCAACGTAACCGCATCCTTCTTTGGTTTTTGCCTTAGCATGCACGCACTTTTTACTGCTTCTTCGATATGCGTTGTGCTAGCCACCTCTTCTAACCGTTTCCCATCTCATACCTGGCTGTCTTTAGCCCTCTCATATTTATTTCACAAATTCTCTCGTTCATCCACCATTCCATTAACTCTGTAGTTCTCGTACTTCCTGTGAAGTGCCTTGATATTCGTGTTTCTCCTCCTTTATTGAATCGTAAGGTATATCCTGTTATGCACTTGTTCAATCATTAAACTGTTGAATTTGCCGTTCTCACGAATTCACTGCTAACCGCTTGTTCAAAAATTTTTTGACCCTTTTTAGCTGCACTTTGTCCATGCCAGTTCCAAAGTACTTTTCATTAATTCATTTAATACGTTTCCTCCACGAACAAGATCAGCAGCCACCTTTTCCTGGCGGGCTAGAATGGTGCGTTGTTTGAACGCTGTGGTATGAGGAGATGAACAATGTGCGTTTATAAAAAATACAAATGTGGAGCAATAGCTACCAATAGAACACGGTGTGAATACCTGAACCAAAGCATTTTATATGCCGTGGAAGAGGAAACCATTTTAACACACCTACTGGAAGAGAGGAAGAAGCCTTTACTCCGTACTACCATTTTTATTTTACTCGACCTGCTACTCATAGTGTGCAGTACCACGGAATTGTTGGCTTTTAAGTCATATCCTATCCTATGAGTTAATCTTTATAGATCATTCAATTTGGCGTGATGGTTTATTGCATGGTCACTTCCCAGAAATGGACACAGCAAAGAGTGTGATGTAAAAGATGGCGTTAATCATACCGTTCTACCGATACTTTTCTTCGAATACGGATGATCACGATTCACGTTACGGTAATTAAAACGAAGATCAATTAATACCTGTGTTTTAGTCTGCCAGTGTTATTCAGCATTTTAATTAAGCTCATTAACACACATCTATATATTTTTGCAGATGCCATCTAAATCGGCACGAATAACTTTGCTGCAGCGCATGCACCTCATGAATTGTTCTCCACCATAGCGATGACTCAACTCAGCGCATATGCTACGTATCCTTCACGAATATCTTTTCAATTGCAGGACGATAGTCGCCATTCTATCTAAAAAACAAGCTTTTTAGATCATAACCAGGTGCTTGATCATCTACGGCTACGAACAGTTTAAAATTTTCTTTTCTTACCTCTCCATCCACCATCAGCACAGATGCTATATTCCCGCATCTATAACAGTAGTTAGGTGCTGACCACACGGTTGCCACACTCTCATCCTTAAAGTTAAATTTGTAGCCTTCCATTACCAGTTGGTGCGAACGTATGATCTTCTGCAGTTGATTTACCATGAGGAACTTTATCACCACATCGTTACCATACGCACATCCGGTTCCTCGCACGTTTGTTGTAAAACCTGGCTGCTGCGATGGATCGGACCATAGCAAATCACCAATTTTGCTTTTCTCGGGTGCCTTGTAAAACCTTGGCATCTTGATGAAATCATCCAGGTTTATTATACTGGACGAAATCCCCCCGTGCACACAGAAAAGCCTCCCATCAACGATACATCCAAGCACAAGATATTCGAACACCTCACAAAATGCACGATATACCGCCAGGTCTCCATACTTCTTGCGCACTTCATCGCTGAATCCGTATATAGAACTAATCTTGTTACTTTCGTGGTTGCCACGCAGAATTGTCATGTTGTCAGGATACATCACCTTGTATATCAAAAGTAGAGAGAGCGTTTCTACCGAGTGAACACCCCGATCGACATAATCACCAAGAAATACGTAACGCGTGTGCTTGGGCGAACCGAATTTCTTGAAAATGTTCAGAAGGTCAAAGAATTGACCGTGAATGTCGCCAACAATGGTGATAGGCGAAGATTTCGAGGGGATGTTAGGCTCATTCACAAGTATGGATATTGCTTTTGTGCACAGATGGTCTATTTCTTGGGCTGAAAGGATCTGGCCGTTGAGTATTTTCGATTCCAGAACATCCATCAGGGGTGTGCAAGTGAAAGTAATTAGAAGTTGGTGAATTTGACTTGGCACCCTACAAATCGTGGAGATAAGACGGCTTGGCACAGCTACGATTTCTGATGCTGTGCTAGTAACATATGTGTGAACGTAGCAAGCGGTATGCAGTAGGTTCGTGATTATGGGAATATGTGCAGAGTGATTCAATAACAATAAATTTGTCTGTTACTGCAACTACATCATTATTACGGCAATATTTCTGCGATATAACGCTGAGTATAGCCATAGTAGTTCTCTGTTCCCAGGTCATTGGTGTCAACAGAATGCTATTGGCATGATAGCAAAATATCCGTATTCATACGGCACACTGCATCCTTAAACACAGGAATGAATTCAGCATGCAGCCAGAATCACTAACTGATCTAAACAAAGCGGATGAAACAAAACAGAGCGCTGTAGTTTAGATCGCAGCTGCCTAGAACAATGCATTCATTCAGGTGGTGTGTTGTATTTCATAACAAATATATTTTGGTGAAAAAGTTGCAGTCTCGATCTGCACTTCTCATTGCTTTGGCTACCACGGCACTATTCCATTACAAGAATGTATACTATAAAAAAATTGGATGCTTTAACTACCGCGTTTGGACGGCTGAATTACACAAGACGAGCTAAATACTGCGACCTATACAATTTGAATAAAGGTGTATATCACATGATAAACCGTTAAATACCGGAAATTAATCGTAAATATTTTACTCAGACACTTCTTTGCTATCATTCATACCTTTATTGCTCAGCTCATCTATTTTTGAGCATTTGTCATTCAAACGTACCAATTCCTGGTACATTCTCTCATACTCGTCATCGTCCAAAGGATAGTCCCGGCTTAACACCTCCTCTTGTCTCCTCAATATGCTTTCCTTTACTTTTTTATACGCCAAGGACTTATTCTTCGTCTGTTTCAGTGTTAGAAAAAATAAGTGAAGATCAGGAAGGCGGCCACGCAGCATAAAGGGGGATGCTTGAATTTTGGTTATAATTTAACCGTTTATAAGAAAACAACTCACATGCTCATGTGCTATTTTCACGACATAAAGCCAAAGAAGCGTATCTAGGATATGAAATTTGTCTATATAAAAGGATGGTCAGAATATTAGTGTTTAATCATTTATTGCATTAGTCTCGTGTTCTAATACGATGTAATACGGTAAATATGCGATACTGTGGATAGCTTTGCATTTTTTGAGCGTACTCGCGGCTGAAAGCGTCAAGGTGATGTATCGCTCGTCCTGTACGTTTATACCATGAGATCACCTTTACACACAGTTCGTGGTAAAAATTTTCATAAGCAGTGCTATTTGCACATGATTTTCTGGTTTCTAAAATCGATCACAACTCATATCACAGGCCTTGAAGAAAGCAAGATTCAATTTATCGTTGTACTTACACGATTTCTCTGTTTGGCACAGCCATGCTTTGATTGTATTCTAAAATATCCGCGATTGAAGTTATTTCTTGTCTCGAGATGTTCCATTATAAACACCTGAATGGTTTCAAAACATGCTCAATACCACATATTTACGTAAACTAAGGCATTTAAACGACCATTGACTGAAGCGATAGCTTGTATCAGGTAAAAGTTAGTTTATCACGGACCCTAAGAAAACCCCGAATTGCTGAACCGTGTATTGAAATGAAACGGGAAATAAACAACAGACCAGTAAAACTTTGTTGCGCATACAACATAAATCGCAGACAAATGAGCATAGTAAACGTGATATACCCGGCAATCGGCATCTCTATTTGGTAAGACATATGAGTGACGTAAAAGCTGTGGCTGAGAACGGAAGACAAAATACCAAAATAATCTGTTCAAAGCGGCCTCATTTTTTGCTCTTGTATCTAATCGTAGATATCTATCGCTTGTACGAAGACATCTTTTCTTATTCGAGGCGCTACCTACCCTATGATATTTAAAAAACACAAAAAACATCCGCTAAAGCTCATATTATACACAAAATTGCACCGAAGGGAACAAAAAAATGGGAAAAAATCAAGCACTGTTGCATTTTCTGATGCGTGTCACGTCATCTCCTCCAAACTACATGTCTTATCCAATTTAATTCTGGAAGGAGACCAATTTCCATCCCAAGAAATGAAAGAATTGGTGGATGAACTGGTAAAACTTAAAAGAATAGATGTGAGCATGGGGGTACCGCTGAATGTCATTGAGATGTTAGACGACGGCAAAGATTTTGATGCCATCTTTGCCGAGAGAGAAAAAGAGGAACTTGAGGAGAGAAAGGAAACCATCGAAACAGAAAAGAGAACGAATATGTTTTATGAGGAATTAAGCAAGTTGGACTTGAAATTGAAAAGGTAGTACACCAAATTTGGTTGTGCAGGATGGTTGCAGGAACAGACAAAGAGGTATGTGACATGTGGCGGTATTGGGCTTGGTAAGCGTGATAGGTATTGTTAAATAAATCAGTCAACATGAGTTGAAAATAAAATGCATGTTCCGACGTACAGAGTTGCTCTCTCGTGGAAATAATTGACTAAAAGGAATCACACTTTTATTATCTGGTCAGTTATTGAAGCAGCTGTTTTTAGGACTTGTTGACGAATTTTAAATTTTTTGTTAAATCCGTACTCCTCACCGGGCATTCAGTAATCCGACCGATAGCCACAAAAAGCAGGGCTGAACGCTCTCAAACAAATATTTTAATCTTTTCTTTCATAATGAAACCGATACCAATGCCCATTACACCCAGACTGCCCGCAAGAAACTCGTAAAAAACAAGTTTGGAGAACAATTTCGGATCTTTAGCATCCATGACACAAATAGCGGCACAGATAATGCCAGTCGCAAATGATGAGGCAAATCCAACTGCTCCAGTGATTGTACCAGCCCCAAAGAGAATGTACGAGACATCCTTCAAGTTTTTGCTGTCATGTGGTATGGAATTAAAGATGAAATACGATATTACAATACCGCAGAGCAGGTTCCCCTCACATATTATGACTCCCACGAGAGACTTAGATCCTATTTTTGGATTAAATATGCTCGCTCCAGCACATGTGCGCGATATGGCGAGCATTCCCTTGGTAGTGCCTATTGCGTTCAGTATAAAACACAGAAATGATCCCAAATAGGCAAAAAGGGCATCGTTCAAAAATAAATCGAAGGGAAACGATGTGTACAGCAGGTAAAGAACGAGGATTGTTAGCGAGAGTTTGATGAGAAAGTGCATTTGCGGCAGGGGGTAAAAGTAAACGTTTTTAACGAATGATGGGTCATTAAGCACAACAGGAAGCAAGTACTGCGCTGAAAGAAGTGTGAGGGGCAATATTAGATCAGAATACACGAGTGGCATAACATGCATCGTACATTAATCTTGAGACACCATTTTTGTTTATTTTAGAGGTATAAATGGAACCAATACACATTTTTTCATTAGCATGCAACAGGAAGATTGATTAGCAAATTAAACAAACAAATAAACCGATGAACGCGTAAGGAGGGTTTAGATAGCACATCACACATTACGCATATGGTAAGTATACGAAGAAATGCCGCGCAATGCATCGATATATTCCTAAATTTATGGACAAAACATTTTTTAGATCGTTTTCACACCCCCTAACCAAAAAGGACAAAGCTGTGAATGTATGACCTGTACACGAATTTTCCTGAGTTATCGTCTTTTAAACCGGAAATTGAAGGTCTTTCATCCTCGGTCCGCGATATAATCAAAAAGATTGTTTTGGCCGTGAACAGACGTGCGAATTATTACCACTTTAACTACGAAAAGGTCAAGGAGGAGAATGGAAACCTATGGAAGAAGATAAATGAATTGAAAAAAGAAAATATTAAACTGATAAGCAGGCTAGAGGCATACAAGAATGACAACAACGATGACCTGGGTGTTGAACATATAAGTATGGCGAATGTTGATGGTGCTGCGTTATTTGGAGGGGAGAAAATGGATGATTACCAGAGAGCCGGCAATTTCCAAAGTGAGGTGCATATTAATGGCGAGAGCAATGAAAAGAGAAACAGCGGAGCGATAGTCATCGATAGCAGAGATGATGGCGATGAAAAGAACGGAAATGAAAAAATGGAGGATGCATTTGGTGTCAATTTTACTAACATAGATGAGAACAAGAAAGATGGAGGAAGTACCTTAAGGGATAAACGTGTATCAGTAGGGGAGTCAAACGATAGCATACACAACAAATCGATGGAAAACAACTTTTTGGACTCGCATGCGTCCCAAGACGATGGAAGTTTTAACACGTCGTTTTTTTCAAATCCTCTGACTATAATAAATTTACAGAACACTATTTACCAGCTGAACAAAGAAAATATTTTACTAAAGGATAAAAACGAAAGATTGAGCAAGGAAATATCATTTGTACTGGATGATGGAGCAACAAATAGGACTGGGAGAACGGTAGATACATATGTAAATGATTACTATGACGTGATAGGGTTGCTAAAAAATATGTGCAGGCTTAATGATTCACTAAAAAATGAAAACGTCAGGTTGGAGGCATCTCTTATTTTTGAAAGAAAAGAAAGGGAGAAGTTAGTTTCGGAGTATAAAAGTGCTATAAGCGGGCAGCTTGATCGCCTCAAAAGGGAGAACACGGAGCTACGAATTGCTGATGAGCGCCTAGGGAGCGAGTTAACCAGTGTGATGGACAAATGTAAACTACTGGAGCGAAGCAATGAGGAGTATTTTAGTAGATGTAAGTTCATGGAAGTAGAAAATTATGATTTGAAGTTCAAGAACAGTATTTACGAAGGACTCGAGCGAAAATTAGAAGACAAAAATTTTGAACTTCGGACGTATGAATATAAACTTAAAGAAAAAGAGAAGGAAAATGAGCGATTAGGAGAAATGTTGAAGGATAGAGAGGATAAAATACATTCTATGCTCGTAAAAAAGCCGTTTAGACAGATATTTTTGGATTATAAGCAGATTTTTTATCAACTGCGAGAAGTCATTCATGGTATGATTACCAGAACTGTGGAGGTTGAGGCTTTGGTACAAAAATTGAGCAAGGTAAGCAAAACCGAGATCGCCAATATTCGAAGTGTTGCAGATGCGAGAGAAAGGATGGCTGTAACGTGTAGAGATGAGGCGAATGAGAGTTTAAAGAAAGTGGAACAAGTGAACGAGATGCTCCATCAGAGTAATGAACGTATGCGGGTAATGACAGATGAGATTGAAAATCTCAAAAAAGATGAAGCCAGTGCGATCAATAAACTAAATGAAATACAAGAAGAAAATGCAGACCTTAAGAACAAGATTGATGTGCTTCTAGTGCAAAAGAACACGTTTATTCAAAACAATCAGGGTCAAATTGTGAAATTACTGGAAATAGAGAGAAAGGAAAACGAGAAAGAGCTGCAAAAATACAAAAAAATGGTTGCGGATGTCGACTTGGGCAAAGTTATGGATGTCAAGACGCTTATGAAGCAATTGGAGGAAAGCAGAGGTGTTATTGACGGCTTAGAGAAGGATAAGAGGGATATTAATGATCAGTTTAACGTTGAAAAGAAGCGCATTGCAGACTACTATGCACAGGAGTTACAAAAGGCTAAGACGGCAATTGATGATTTAAGTGGAAAACAGCATTTTTATATGGCAAGTTTTGAGGAAATAAGGAATTTTGTGCAGAGTAATTTTAACATAAATGTTTGTGACTTTGGGCAGCTCAAGGAAGTGATTTTGAACTTGTCAGAGAAATGTAGCAAGTTGAATGACGAGTTGGAGACAAAGGAAAGAAGCATAGATAATTTTAAAAGCATCATAGTTAAGCTCCGATCGGTAAACGAGAAGATGCTAAAAAGAATCAAAGAATAACCACCAAAATAGTGTAAATAGTTAAAAACACGTGAAATATAATGAAACAAAACCTAAGATGAACAAAGCGTATTTGTCGATTAAAACTATTTCCATACAGTGTTCAAAAATGTACTACGTACACCGGCAGTCAATATGTGATGTTTAATCACTTTGACCTTAAAACCTGTCAAATGCACGTATTGCAATTTAAGAATTTGAGGTTCTGCTTGTTTTATAAGTTGCCAAAGATAATTTTCATTTATTGTGACGTATAGGAAGTATCTTTGCAAGTGGAAGTCTCTAGCAACCGATGTGACACAAAGACATAACTAATAAAGCGTAGTAGGACACTGTTTTATATCCTGGGTGCTATATCAACGATATTTTAATTTTACAGCTCGCGGTTGAAGTCCTCAAATCCCATAAAATACTTATTGGCAGCGTTTTTCAGTTCTGTCAATTTGCTTATTAATACATGCATATCCTTCTGATGCTGGTTCATAACCTGTACCATTTTAAATTCAAGTTCTTTTATCTCCTTCTGATTATTCGCTATCCTTTCGAAATAATCGTTTCTTTCTGTTCTTACTTTTGAGTAATTGTCCTTTAATTTATTGAGGTTGTTAGACAGCTCCTTCGCGTTTTCCTGATCTTTCTTTTTCAATGCCTCTATCTTCCCCTCAATATGGCTTATCTGCCTACTTAGGTGCTCCACTCGTCTGTTAGACGCATTTATGGACATGGATAGGTTCTTAATCGTTCTCTCAAAACCTGCTATCTCGTTTTGCAATGCTTGCATAGCCTTTGTCTTGTTCTTCTGGCTGATAGCCATTTTTATCGCGTTCTGCATTCTTACCTTTTCCCCTTCTTCTTTTTCGATTAATTCAGCCGTATGTCTAATCTTTTTGTTGAATTCTTCGATGCTAACCTTCTCTGTCCTGATCAGGACTTGCATCTCCTCGATCAAGGACAGCATCTTCGAAGGATCATCAATCACCTGTGTCTTCATTTCCTTTATCTCTTGTTTTAAATTCAAGCATACCAATTTCAACGAGCTCAATTTGTCGTAAGACTCGTCTCTTTCTCTTTTTATCTCCTCAACTTTGTTTACGCGTTCTCGCTGCTCTCTGCAAATGCTTTTTACCTCCTCTTCTAATTCTTCCACCTTCTTTTGTAATTCGCTGTTTTCCTTTTCCCTTTTTAGCGCTTCGTCCTTCATATTCTTAAGCTTCGACTCAGCCATGTCTATTGACACATTTATCTCGCTTAGCAAGTTCTCTTGCTCCTCCTTTTTCGATAATAACTTTTCATAATATTCCTTCTTGCTGTCTCTATATATACAAAAGTTGTAGATGGTGCTCAGAAAATTCAAATTTCTTTTGTATGAAGGTGTAAGCAAGTCTTTGAGCTCAAAAAAATCGATGCCGAGCCTCCTTAACAACATATCCACTCTTTTATAAAGTATCATGAGAAATTTTGACTCATCTGCATCATTACTTATACCATTGTTAATGCATACGCAATTTATGATGGAATTATAAATTCGTAGAACACTCTGAAGAGAAGGTTTGACCACTTCTGATTGCATAATCTGGATACCATGTTCAGAAAAATAGCTGATGATCTCTGAAGGCTGGAAATTAGGTATCAAGTAAATGTTGTCTTTCTGTTTTGTCATCTAGGGGTGAAATACAGGGGGGGCAAAAATCGGAAAGCGTATAAGTTCTGTAGCATTATGAATCAAGAAACGGCAAAACTGCACATTATAGATATTTCATGGGAGAAGCGGTAGACAATAATAGAAACGGATGAATTGAAATTATCAGGCTCTGAATAAAAATATTGCATATAAATGAAAGGTAAAAAATACGTAAAAACTTTTTTGCGCTTGAAAACAAGCAAAGACTGATTTTAATAAGGAATTATTTCAGCAGTAGCTAAATATTTTTAAAGCGTAATTTATTGCATTGTTCCTTGCTTTATGTATAGGATCTTTTACCATCATAAAATTCACTTTACCACTTGCTACGACCAACCACAGTCACGATATTGGCACATAAAAAAATTCTAAAAAATATTTAGATGTAGGATTTCACATATAGGACAAGATATCCCAAATATGTGCTGAGTTAAATAAAATATTTTGGAAAAAAATCTAAATGCTCGCTCGTTCCACAAGAAGGAAGAAAATACATTTTGAGTAGAATATATCAAACATGATGCTTGTTTAACACATATTGTGAAAATACATATCTTATACATGTACCACGGAAAGATACATGCCATAAATGATGAAGCTACGCTAAGCTAACATAACGATACAATTTTTTTGAGCTCTTGCGTCGTTGTTGCTTGATGTCGTAGACATAAAAACACGTTCCTATTGCTTCTAATTAATGAAATGTTTTTGCGCATTGCATCCGCCACCAACTAAAAATTAGGATGTAGTATAACCGGCAAATTAGGTAAAAATGTCATTTATTTGTACTACATGCTTACCGTATCATACAAATAAGTCGACTATTATTATGTCATAAGCTGTTTGCAAGTTTCGTCTCATAGATTTATGACTTAATCACACATCTGCTTGAACTGCAGGACAAACTATGATTTTTGAATTGTACATGTCAAAGAAAGCGACTAATTTGTTAATCTTTTATGGCTTATATCTGCACAGCCCAGTCTTTATGCATGGCCAGTTGTATGTAGCTCTGTCGAGAGTGCGCTATGCAAACGGTCTAAGAGTGTATGTTGCTGACAATGGAGACCAAGGAAAGCATGAGAATGGTAAAGTATACACAAGAAATGTTGTATACAATGAGCTACTAGAATGAAAGTGATTTATTGATTTGTAACCACAGAACAGTTGGTAGAAAGGAATGACCTGATGTTTTAGTTATACTCAAAAGCGTTATTTTAGTATACTATCCATTCATACACCCGTTTTTGAAAAACGGGATGGTACAGCTAGTTGTTGTATAAAAAAGCGTTGTAAACATTTTATGTACGCAATCAAGCACTTTATGATTGTAACAACAATTATTTAACATGATATTTGGCAAAAATAGAGAGACTAGTTTTTCAGTCATCTTGATGGAAGCCGTCATACATTCTCACAAGATCAAAAAAACCAGTACAATGTTCCATAGACACCACCACTTTGCTAATAGAGCAAAGGAAATAAAAAGTTGAATATTTTGATGGTATGTCAAGTGACTTGTACCGATAAAACACCGCTGTGACAGGGAATTAAAGTGATGTATGCATTTCAAATTATTCTGACACGCTGTAGCATTTTCTTGGTATGTGTAAAATAGAGCTAAGTAATAGTTAAAATGGTTTAATTTCTCTGATTTTTTTATCAAAGCCTTAAATTGGTATGCAGTCAATCTATTTCAAAATGTATTCTAAATGTCTCTTAGATTAACACAAACGAGGGTTTTACGAGAGAAAATCCACATCCCTTAGAATGCCGAACGACTTGGTAGATAATGCATTCGAAGAACTGCTAAAGGCAATAAGAACGATGAATAGTAACGATCAAACACTCATGAATAGGTTCGAAGAAATGATAGAGGATACAGAGAATAGAAACGGTATGTTAGAAAAAGCGATTTCGGAAATGATTAAGAACAAAACTAGTAATGGAGAGAAAATGGATATGTGAGCTTGTGGTGATATTGCATTTTCTCTTAAGTATTTACTGGTGATAGATTAGTGCTTTCTCATTAAAACAAGTACTTTGACTATTTGCGACAAATATTCATTTAAAAGTATGATAGTATGGTCAACAATTTAATGTTTTTTTGTCCAGAAATAACTGTTATAACTTATTCATCAATCTTAATTGCCATCTAGCTTTCCAAAATTCATCGATTCTGCAATTTGCTTCATATCGGTATTATCGTATTGGTGGTTCCTTTATCAGCCTTTCCGGCTCGGACATGTTTTGATTAAATGCATGTGGTCGAATACGGTATTTTATTCATGTCTGATTGACCAAAAATAAGTGTTTCATTGATCGGCGTGACAGATTTGGTGTGATTAATAGTTTTATGGATCGTATTATGCGGTTTGATATCTAAAAATTATAATGTCATAAGAGAATTACCTGGTAATGTGTTCACTACAGAAGCAATCGGATGGACTTCATCGATGTTTTACATCAATTGGAACCATTAGTTCTATTCTCCAGATCTTTGCTAATCAACAATCGATGTGTTAATGTTTAACTTGTGCATGCGAATTGATACCACATCGATTAGAATATTCTCTTAATTCACGTCATGACTTTAGTCTCAGTATTACGTTCAGAAATCAACATGCGACTCGATAGGTCAGAAAGGTTTGAAAAGGAGGACAACCATTTTTCAGATCAAAAAAAAAGACGAGTGAGACACCCATGGGAAAAACAAGAAATTACGCTAAAAAATTAGAAGGGAGACGTAGAAAAGAAGAAAGAGAGGCTGAGAAAAAACGCCTAGAAGAGGAAGAGAAGGAAAAGCGGCTGACCGAATGGTGGTCTCTAGGTGCAAGGGATGATACGAAGGAAAGAGAAAAAGAGGCGAAGAAAGCGGAGAAACAGATGAGAAAACAGATCAATGAGGAGACACTAAGGAATGAAATTGAGCAGTATAGCAAGAAGTGAACAATGATAGATGTGGAATTTGAGCGGCAATAAAGCTTTATAACGTTTTTCCAGTTATTACATGCAACATGTTCTCCTTAATTTCCATCGTAATGAATGTTTACTTTGTGAAGGAGGGCCCATCTCGAAGCAGAAGAAACTCGTGTGGAGAAGGCGTGCCTTTATAAACATTCAGAAGAGCCAGGGTAAGCGTGTTAAAAGCATTGCACCAAATTTGATGCGCATGTTTCTTAGTTATCTACCCCGTGTAGTAATCTTTAGTCAGGGATGCTTTTAGCGAATCTAACTAAATCAATGGTAATTCATTATTTTGCAGCGACCCCAGATAGTGGGTGTGATAGAAAAGATATCTTGGCCAGCTTTGTCACTTGAGTTGATTGCTCTTTTAGATGATAACCGACCAGCAATGTCCCACACAAGTGATGGTTATATTTGTGCCTGTTGTTATAACCTCCATTTTGTGTAAAGTCGTTGCATCATTGTTTGTTTGACCCGAGTTAGAGTGTAAGGTTTCGCTAGGTTAGCTTAGGACACACTTCCAAAACAGCTTTTGTCCCTTCTTGCTAGTACCGTATTGGTGAGAAAAAATGATAGCTGCGCACTAGATTTACTGCCATTTTGTTGGTAGATCGGAAGTACCATGCCTCTACAACATCATTCTCTAACTATAAGCTCGGTGTAACGTAAATATTCTTAGCTAAAATCGTTGCCACCTCATATCAACATTAAAGTACCCATCCTAAACAACAATTTTAATTCTATTTATCTTTCCTTCCAATGTGATTGACTAAGTATCGCTCCTTTTCATCGTATACTGCGATATAAGATGACAGACATTCCTCTATATTATATACCCGCTTTTTGCCCGCTATGTGAAGAATTATTTTGTTATCATCTATGTATTCTATCCGCTCACTTCCATTTAATTGCACTTTGTCGTCCAACTCTATAATAATGTCCATTTATCGAAGGGCTTCGGAAACTAAAATTAAATGAGCATTTTCTGCCATTATTCGTAATATATTTGGATGTAAAAGCACTTAATTAACTCATTTATTAACATTTGTTAATAATTAGAAATATATACGCATATCGTGCAGAACTTCGATCAAAAAGTCTTGCATTGACAGGGCTTAGGAAACAAATCTCTATAAGAGATAGGAATTAAAATAAAATGTTCTATTAACGAATATTTGATGAGAAGAAAAAGAAATTTAGCGTTAAAAAAGAATTTAAAGTAATATATTGATACAATACACGTTCTAGACTGCTATTCGAGCGCTTCATAGTGATGAAAGCACAAGAATTTAAATATAGGTATGTTCTCTAACAAGTACCACACACAGCTCAACATTCAAAAATATGCAACAAAATACCATGTAAGTGGAATATATCTACACGATATACCATAAATGGTATGCACTACAACATAGAGATATAACTGAGGTATAAACAAACACTTTTCTCACAATACTACGATAAAGAACAAAGAATAAACTGAAGGACACAGTGTTTTTATAAACAACATGAAACTATGACTTAAAAAAGTATAAGATTGCAACATCTTCTGGCGATGCTTCGCATTCCTTTCCGTTTTTACTTGCATCTTCTACCACACTCATTGCTCGTTCAAACTTACATATAATATCGGGTACACTTTCATTAATATCTCTAAGATACGTGTAATCAACCGGTACATTCTCTATAACATTATATTCGTTCTCTTTTTCTTCCTCCTCCATCATTACCTGTTCCAAATCTTTTTCTAGCTTCTTGTAATGCTCCTCTATTTCTTGAGCACACTTCAACGGCAACTCTCTCCTCGTAATTGCCAGTTTCTCTATCATTTGATCTCTTATTTCTTCTTTGTCAGCCAATTCTGTCTCACTCGCTGGTATGATTATTTCAGTGTTGGCCACGATTATTTTTCTTAGGGTCTTGAACAGTTTTAATTTTGTCCTTGTAAGTGGCGACAGTTGTTCCTGCAGTGATACTAGGATCTCATCAAGCTGATCAGTCGATATCTGCACTTTCATAGGGGTCAAAATTTTATACCAATTATTCCTTGTGGCTTTTGCCATACCTGAAGCGGTGTGTACGAATATTGAAAAGAGTATATCGCTCTTTCAATGAACTCAGCTAATTTAAATTCTCAGTCTGCAATATACCGGTCTTCATAGCAAACTCGTTAGAGGTATAAGAGCTTTATTGTAAGTCCTGTCAAACTTGTGCAAAATCTTTACTTAAAAACTTAGTTTCGATGAATTCATATGATTATTCCGTACTTGTATTGACCAGTTAAATCAAGGCAACGAATTCACTGCAAAGCAATAAAAGGGCATAAAATCCTTAACAAATATGGCTACAAAATGGGACATAACAATACGGGGGTGTTGATGTTTCGCTAATGAAAGATATATGGTCACATTTGTATGAACATAAAACTAATTAGAGATATTGTATGGCAGCTAAAGAAAAAGATCTGATAAGAATGTCGGCCTATTGCTCCGAAGACGTGCCAAATCTTACAGCAGAAAACCTAGTAAAAAGGATTATGAGGGAAACGAATAAGTACCTGTTACACCAGTCTTACGATTGAACAATAAATTATAGATTTTAATTTCTGCACTTGCCTTTGAACATTTTTAACTATTTTCACCATTTTTTGGCTCACACCTCTTTAAATGCAACATAAATAGAACACTCACGTAAAAATACCTTTAATTACCTTTTTTTCGGGGTAAACATACTTTTCATCATTCTGTACTTAACAACACCGACCGCAACATAGCCTAAAGGCAATATACACAACCATATCAGCTTTGTTCTCGACTTCTTGGCATCTCTAATGATATTACGCTTGTCAACACTCAATTGCATGCTAGAATTGTACAAGTTTCTCAAGTCCATCTTCAACTTCTCCAGTATATTTTTAATATACGTCGTGTTTTCATCAACTTCCACTTCCTTGTCAACATAGGTCGACAAAGAGAACAGGACCGGCTTGGCATCAAAATTGAAAATTTCTATGCCATACAAACCTTTACCAGTAAACTTAGAGGGAGCCATACGAGCAGGTACATCCTGATACGTCGCAAATCTCTTGGAATTGTTCGGTTCCACTATACGGTATCGCAGAGATGCATTTTCCGGTGATGTAATAGATAGCTCAACCGTCAACTGATAATCATTGCTATCTAACTGTTCCCAGAATGTTTCACTCTCACCTTTTTCAAATATTAAATCGTGGCTTAGGCAGAAAATCGATGAAATACCGAAAAGAAATGACAGCAAACCGTTCATGGGGGGTGGACGAAAAATAATTTTTTAAAACTGACCACGCTTCGTCCCAGATGCGGTATACGAATAGATAATGATGATGCTGAGTAAATTTAGGGATTTACAGAACATTCATTATATTTTGCCGATTTACTGCACATAGACCGGTTACTCATGGATATGAATTTATCACATTTTTAATTATTCAAAACACGATTAATGTTGCCAGCCGATACCATTTATTGTTGGACAATTGCCGATATAATCTACGATGCAATCTATAGATGTGCCCAGTTAGATGCTTTTAATACTTTTGTTGCAGGATGTCCTTATTCATGTCCTTATATATTTGAACCAGAATTTTTATATTTAACCCGTTCATTCAGGATTTTGTATACAACGTAAATGTTCTTGTCCGTTGAATTAAACAAACGGTACGGAGCTAAAATGTTTAAACACTTGTGTGAAAAAAGTTAAGCAAGCATAGACAAATAAATCCATGCGCGAATCAAAGCCGCCACGTACAAATCATGAGCGTTTATGTCCGTTATAATACACAACCACCTGATACTACGCCATATCTTGACACGATTGTTAAAACTATCGCAACAACAGGCTCTTAACAAGCATAGAGCTTGTTTACAACCTCGTATAGACAAAAGATAGATCCCGAATTGTTACTGCACTACTTTTCATTCTTAGATTCTTTATGGTATGTAACCAAGGATATTGCCACTTTTCAATATGAATTACCGTTATTATTTAGATCTGCATCTTTGCACAGGCCATTATTTACTGCTATACAATTGTAAAACCAGACATAAAACACTTATAAAAAGCTTACAAGTATTAAAATGCTATTGAATACGACGAATTGCTATCGTAATGAACAATCAGCATTTTCTTCATTCATAAGAAATTCGTTAAGAATGATGCATTCTTAATCACCGTAGAAAATGAGCAATTACCACCACAATCCGATAGTGATGCGTAATTCGAGAAGTTATAACGTGTAACTGTTGCTGTTTTACCTCCTCATATCAAACTCAAACGAAGTATTCTCTTTAAACAATGGTTTAAAATTGATCTTTGTTTAGTTGATGTAATTTTTAGTGTTGATCATCGCGACTTACGACGGAACGGAGTGTTTAGGATTTTATTTTTCTAACCCCTGCCATGGACTACAACACGGAATTGCAGGTGATAAAAACCGAAAAAATTACCTTAAAAGAGGCCAAGGAAGCAATTGATAAGTTTTTAGAGAACACTGAAGTAGAAGATCTTATGGAGATACAATTAACTGAGCTTAAAAACAATCTAAAGGAGGATTTATAGCACCGCATGGTAATTCAACTTGCTGATAATTTAATTTCTAAATGGTTTTTTAATTAAAATGCTTTACAGAGAAACTTTGCATTTAGTGAACGCACTAATTTATTTAAGCAAAAGAGTGTGTTGGTGCCATGGCCATTTTTATCTCAGTTTCTTGGCATCGTTCTTTTTTCTCCTTGAAGATGAAGCGTTTTCTAATCACTCGTAATCAGAATTGAGATAATTTAGTTGTTTGCTTAGCATTTGAACCGAATACAGCAGGAAGTATTGCCGATTGCGAATAGTGCAGCACATACTGTGTCCATATATGGATGAAGTACCGCAAACATTTCCATTCTTTACTCGTGTATAAACACGAAAATTTTGCGAAAGTGCATGATGGACACTTTTCGTATTTTCAAGCTCTCCATAAAAAAGAACACGGAGACGTACCATCAATTTCAGCAAAAAAATGCACACGTATCCACACAGGAAATCTATCATTTGCAGTACAGCAGGGAGATAGAACATGAGGAATGGTCACATCTATTCAATAATCTGATCATACACATAGATAATGTAAAAATTGTAATTCAGCAGTTCAACAATGTCATCCTGGTGCTCAATATCTTAGATGAGATGAGCATAAGGATAAGTAAAGTAGGAAAGGTTATGGCCATTCGATGGTATGTGGAGGAGAAGATACAGATTAAATTCTATACTGAGCAGGAGAGCACTCTGTTCCATGAGAGGATCAACGAAACGGTTGTTGGTAATTTGAGGAACTGCAGCAAAGAAAAAGCGGAGAAGGTGAAAAAGATAATTGCTGAGTTCAAGAAAATTAACAGAAACGAGGAAAGCGCAACGAACAAATGCGATAGTAGCTATGATGATATAAAGAGGGAATTTATCGAACTGGTTAATAAGAGGCTGTGACTGGAACATGTGCTTATTTGGATGTTGTTGGTGTGTGAGGAGATAAATAACGTACTTCAAGCTACAAAAGTTACTATGCACAGCTATTATAGAAATTACATTTTTTCAGTGAACGAATTGAGGCATTCTTTTTATCTGAAAGAGGGTTGAACAAATTCACATTTATGTATCTGAGTTACACCTCTACCAGGCACACTAACCCTCATTTAGAACGGAATAGCTTTTTGTTCTGAGAGAATAAAATGCCACCAAGTTGGGTTAAGATTAAAACCGTCACGGTATGTGCTCCACGGCAGAACAGTGAAGAAATGCGGCTTAAACCGTAACTTTTATTTCAAAACGATTGCAGGTTGTTTGAGGATCAGATTTAAGTGTACTTTTACCATGTCTAAGCCGGCAAGTAAACCGTACGATCGTCCTAGAAATATATGTGTACGATTGCTTGTAACTGTTGCTGTCATATGGACGGAATGGCCCATCCATGCACGATCAATTCGTACACGCAAACAAGTATACACCTCATAGATAACAACCATTCGATCCTATTCTTTAATTATCTGCTAATAAGTCTTCTATAAGAGGATCATCAACATTTACCGGCTCCATAGGCCCGTATCGTTTCGTGGGTATACCATTTTGATCGATCAGAAACTTGGTAAAGTTCCATTTTACATTATCCGTTATCGTGCCCTTGAGATGCTTGATAAGAAACTTAAACACCGGATGAGCATTTTCACCTTTAACATCCACTTTTTCAAACACTATAAACTCCTTCGAGTATCTCTCAATGTTTTTTCGCACTTTCTCGGAATCCTCCAGTTCTTGATTACGAAACTGTGAGCACGGAAATAAAAGAATTTTCAGGTTCTTGTCATGGTACCTTTCCGCCAATGCAACCAAGTTCTCAAAGGTGGTCGTAGCAAAACCACATTTTGTCGCCGAGTTTATTATCAGTACAACGTTATCTCTCAATTTTTCAAATTTGTAATCATTTCCATTCATATCCTTTGCGGACAGCGCATAAAATTCATCTGATACTTTCCTCGCCATGATGATGTTTTCTTGAGGGACAATTAATTATTTTTTATTTGGAAGGAGTAAAAGGAGTTATTCGGATGATTTGTAAAGAACAAAAGACTTTAAAGGGATCAAAATGACAAATAAATAACAAAAAGAGCAAGTTTGACCATACTTTTGGGTTGATAAAGGAGATGAGCGATAATAGGACCAATTTAAACTTGGTCATCTGTGAACCAAAGGCTGTTGAGGTAGACATTAGCGTGCTAAGGGAAGAATGCCGGATGACAGACGTTCTAACCTAGTGAACAATCTTACCAGAAAACGATTCATTTCTTAAAGACAGGGCAAACACCTGATTTAACACAGAAAGAACGTTAACATGGTCATGTATTGCGAGTAATAGACAGAAATTGTTGCTAAATAGCGGTTTTGTTTGGTATACGTATGAAACCTGGTAAATAAAGATATATTTAAATCGTATGAATAAAAGGACATAGAAATATAAAATAAATAGATTTACTGGAATAAAAATTAGCAGTATACAAGAGTTTCAAATAATCATCTATTTGTAGTTTATTGTGGAAACTTATCAAAGTTCTGTGGTATTCTTTCAGCAATAACAGTATTCAACGGCTGTAGTATAACGAAAGTGTCCGTGATGCGAAGCTTAATTAAAAGTTTAGAGTTGCCAAGGCACAAGCAATTTTACTTTTTTCTGCCCTGGGTTAACGAAAGCCACTGCAATGTGTTAGAATGTCTGTTTTAGCAGTCATATAGTAAGGCAATATTCTGTCCGTGCCTCAAATGGCAAAGTATTACGATGTGGATTGAGTACCACGTATCATAACCATGTCTAAAACATGAAAAACATCCGCTGAGTGATTATAACTATGAATAAATATTCATATATAATGTAAAATCTAGTTTTGTTACCTTACCTTTAACACAGCCATTGTACAGCACCATTCCCAAATTATCTATAACTATGAACGTAAACTCAGAAAAACACCAACATTCGCCATGCTTCACTCTGCACTATACTCTACATTCCATAAAATGTATTTGCTAAACCACATCTATGGTTTGATAAGAAATGCTAACATCAGCAACAAATATCTCATTGTACAATATAAATTTTATGAGCCGCACTTTATGTTAGTGAGAGTCAAAAATACTTGGAAACCTACGCTACCAACGTATGATATGGTTACAAAAATATCTTAGTGGTATATTTGTGTTTAGTTATCAATTACCATGCCATCTATCACATCATAAAATATCTTAGTGCAATATTTGTGTTTAGTTATCAATTACCATGCTATCTATCACATCATAAAATATCTTAGTGGTATAATTTCAGTGGTTTCTTTGCCCTATTGTAACGTTATAACGAACATATCATAAGCCAAACGTAAGCCTCTAAGTACGGTACTCAATTCTTATTGGTGACAAGATAACCAAATTGCCTTCATGTACTTGCTAATCAAATATCTTCGCAAATTCGTTGTAGCTCAGTATTCCTTGTTCGTTAAAATACGTTATCATCTCTTTGATGTCATCATCTGCCAGATTTAGCTTGGCTAAGGCTTGTTTCATTGTATCGTACGTGATGTATTTACCGCCACACGCCAGGAATTCAAAGTATCCCGTGTAGTCTTTAGGTTCGTTTATAGTGTCAGTTATATCATCCCTGTGTACTTTGTTGCCTTTTATATCTTTTGGCCGTCTCAGCATCGAATAACAGAAGGCCTTGTACTCCTCGGGCGATAGATAGCCTTTGCTGCCAAAGTCAAATAATTTAAATCTTCGATTAATTTCTTCATCAGACATTGAGGGGCAACTGAAAATAAATTGCAAATTATTCCACGGTTATAATTAGATTTTCTACACCTCGATTTGTGCCGTGACCTACTCAAATCATAAGAACTTGAAATGTTACAAACATAATATAAAAAATACAAAAACATCAGAACATGTGTAAATATTGTTTTAGTAATGAGTTTAGAATTCAAGATTGGAGATTAATTATAACACTCCAAAGACATTACAATAGTTGCTATTTGCTTATCAAACACGTACATGAGATATGATTCAAGTGTATAGTTGGTCTTTCTCAACAACATGCACAAAATATGTTGTTGTACTTGGTTGGTGTCGTTATTAGAATATTCTATTCGTACTTCACACGATTGTTCTTTCTTATGACTGATGTTGCATAGGTTTACCCTTTCTGACTTTATTATCATAAGAGTTACCATCCCACCAATAAGATTTTTAATTTATGGTGGCGATAGGATATGTTCTAGAATTAAAGCGGTTCTCACGAAATAAAAATGATTGTGCTATCCTGTTAACATTTATAATTTTTAAAGTAATTAACAAAGAGGAAGATGAATGATAAAGATAAGAGCAAATAAAGGAGGATTAGGATGCCTTCTTTGCCAACAAACGTACTCCAACCGAAGAAATATATACGGCTAAAACAACATGAACAAAGATCGATTGAGGAGGTGGTACGGCACTATTTGAAGAAATCATGACGAGCAGAGCGCTCATTACACTTCTTCTCCACAGGAAAGATTGATCAAAGTAAGTAAATGTTTATCCAAGATGTTGCCATTGAAAGTAAATATTAATGATACTCACCGTATTACTGGTAAAAATTTTTATTTGCCTAACGTAAATGGTGCTACAAGCAAAATATGTGTGAGACATACGGTTGGCAGACCAGCAAAATATTTTATTTAGGTGGATTAAACGATTATGTGGTGGATGGATGTATTTCTAACAAAAAATATGGAGATAGGTAAGCGGTACGAACGGGTTTATTGGCCACATGTACGCTGCACATCTTCGAACACAGTAAAAATGCTCAAAGTATGCCACGGTAATATCCAAGATAGATAGAACAGCACTTAGAAAGGCTTTTCTTCCACGGCAAAAAAGACACTGCCACATTGGCAAAAGCAGGTGGGCACAAACATACGCTTTGATTAGCACAACTTTAATTACGTGCCAGGTAGCTGATGGTGATTTTTATGATGCAATGCATGCTGAGCGCTTGACACCGAGTCATGTCGTTTCGTAAATGTCCTTTCAGAACAGCAATTAGATCAATCTCAGCAATATCCATATCATAGATGCATTCAATATCATTCGCTAAGCGCTGGAATGCAATCAGATGCAAATCAAACGGTTGACACGTATCATCATTCATGATTTCTTCCACAGTGATATTTGAACAGCGGCCTCTCAGTGAGATGCTGCGTAAGTTCTTGGTGCATATCACAATTTGCACAGGCAATTCGTTTTCAAACACATAGCAAATTCGGAATCTTATGCCATTTCTTTCGCGGAATTTCACCTCAAGAGGACTGGCAATGGACTTAATGACAGTAAACACGCCCAGACACTCCAGTGAATGACACACTACCAGGCCTGTACTGTTCCTAAGCAACAAATACTTGCAGGACCTATTCACTATCACCGGAGTGTCGTGCGATCCCCTCACACCATTCAAACAAATCCTTTCCACGTTATTTGATATGTTAATTTGTTCCGCAAAACGGGTATTTCTAAGATTGAATGATAACATGCCGTTGCCAACATTTTTCTTGAATTCATATGATCCATCCACGGTGCATACCATTGCATCATGTCCTATCGCACTCAACCAATGAATCGTACACTGTGAATGAATGATTATTACATCTTCGCACTGTAAATCTATCCAAACAACGGCTTCTTCTCCCAGTATGACATTATTAAAGCGTAATTTTTTCACGTAACCGGGAACGTTCAGCGAACCGTTGAACGATAAGTTGTGAAGATTCAAACGTATGCCTAGTGCTGGTAAAGTTTCCATTTTTATCATGCTTCTGCGTTCAATAACCAATTCATTAACGTTGAGCATGCCCGCGAAGTGGAATGTGCCAGAGCAATTGATGATTTGAATACTTACCAAGTTGCTGTGCAGGTAGAAAACGCTCGTGGTGACCATGACGAGCCCGTTCAGGTTTATATGCATGATATTATGCGATAAAAAATGCGTGGATAGATGAAGCTCACCACCAATCACGAGAGAGTTGGTGCACTCCGAGTAAAGAAGTGAAGTATAGGTGGCAGAGGACATTCTGAGATACGGTCTGGACAGCATATCCACAGAACCTATGTAATTTTCCAGTATTATAGAGTCACAACTATCCGTGACGCAAATACTAGGCAAAATATCATTTTGCATATTCTTTAACAAAATACTTTCGAGCTTGCAATGTATGAACACGGTCTCCTGCATATCAATGCCCATGAATATTATTTGGTATGTCTGTCCGCCCTGCATTTTGGTGACCGTGAGCTCGGACCGGAAAAAGTCGTGATGAGAAAATGTACCGCTGATAATTCCAGTCAATCTGATTGTTCCAACGAAGTTTATAATGAAGAGCACGTTGATATTATCGTCTAAGTGTAGAGAAATAGGTTCCATAAACTGAACATTGATCAAATAGATATTGTGTAAGGTGTTGAAGAACATATTATTGTTCATTATGGTGGATGAAACAAGGAAAATATCTACTTGGTTGTCGTTATCATTCCTTTGGAAGATAAGATCAGGTAATGTGACGTTATCAAGGGACATAGTTAGAAGTAATTGGCCGAATAAATTAAATGTGCCCTGTGATTCTCTGATCATGACATTATAATATTCTCCATCCAGTTTGAATGTACATTCCTCCCTGACCCTGACATTTTTCAGTTTTAAAGAGTGAAATTTTTTCTCAACTTTCACATCGTAATTTATTACAAGCTCGGTGATGATCAGGTTCCGTACTAGAGGCGGCAACATTTCAAAAAAATCTTTGGGCAGACATCCTGAGCATTCTAAAATTTCTAAATCGCTAACATGTCTCAAATCAATGATTCCCATACAATGATTGAGTAATATCCTTTGGCATTCTCCGTTAAAGCGCATAATGAATGGTTGGATGACATTGACCTGGTCAAGCGCAAGAAACCTGATACTCTCATTGCACGTGAAATCCGATGTGCACCAAGCGCACAACATCTTAAATTTGGAAAATCTTCCAGTAGCGAGCCACTTACTTTCAATTATCGATACGTCAAAGGATTTAATAGTACCGAAAGCGCTGTACTCGATTAGGCTGCAGACATTCACGAGTTTAATAGTGGCACACGATTTCATTATTATGATTTTGCAGTCATCATCCGCAATGACATATCTGCATTTGAGAACGTTGAGGAATCTACAGAGCTTCACTGTTTCCGTCAGCAGTATGTTTTGCATCTCAAGGCTTATTGTTTGGGCGGGCAGAGAGTTCAATAACATCAACCCGCTGTTGTTAAGATATACATTGCATTCTTTATTGCCTATTTGCATGGTTTCAAGCTTGATATCTAGGTTATCAAAACGAAGAAATAGCTGTGCGACATGGTCCTCGCACACAAAACTGCACCTTAACAGCCTGTTCACCACTTCACATAAATCCTCAATATTCTCCGTTTCCATTCTCTCAAACTTAATTTCCAGCATTATACTCGGTTTTACGTCCGCGTTCTCAAACTGCTCCATAAGCAACTGCTCGTTAAACTGTAAAAAGCGGTAGTCCATTGACAAACGGTGAAACATGTAACACAAGTCGAGGCAGTCCATGCTCATAACCAGTAAGAGTTGAGATTTGATATTATTGATCGGGGACACGTGAGCATCTTGACCGCGCGAATCAGTTATTATAAAGCCAATGTTCTTTTTGGTCACATTTACCAAATTCAAAAACGAGTTAATCCAATGGTAAAGACGGAGACGGACGTTAAGTATTGCTTTGCGCTGCACCGCGCTACTATCCGGTTTCTTCAGACCGCTTAGCACTTCCTCAAGCTTCTCCAAGCCCTGCTCGGTACAAACCAACTCCATGAACCTAGTTTTATCAATTTCAAATCCGCTTATCCTGTTCAAAAGGCTGTAAGTTATTGTACAGTGGTGGATGCACATCTTTTCGTACATTTTATGGTCGTTATAAAGATTGTCAACGATTAACTGCATTATCAACAGGCGATTGTCCAGGACACTAAACAAATTGGATGTTATGAGCTCGTAAAGTTCCTCGACAGTCAGACATGGGTACTTGAGAAACGGAATCCTACAGATTTTGTTGTAGAGTGCTTGCGATATCGGTAAGCTCACCTGTGCGTACTTAAATTTAAATTCATTGGTTTTCTTTCGTGGTGTATTACCGCCCTGTTTTACGGTCTGTTGGTCTGCATTGGTTTCTGCCGATGGTGTGTCCTTTGCATTGCTCGTAAATATACCAAGTTTATCTGCCTGTTTGTTGTACCATTTGATTTGAAAAGGTACAGACAGGTCATTGGTCTGTTTAAAGATGCAATCTGCAATGTTCGCCTCCTCCAGCGACTTAAATATCATGTATTTGTTATGACTCGTGGTGTCCTCCTGATGAAATCGTATAATCACTCTGACCAGCGAATCAAAGAGTTCTCTTGGTGAAATTTGCATGGAATGTGAACACTACGGTTAGAAAAAGCACCGCAAGTTTCCATAAATGGATTAAACATTCTTGTCTAATCAAAACCAGCACTTCGTATGCGTGCAGTAAAATCGGCTAATTAAGACTTGTAAGATACACAATGGTGGACTGGTGCGCCTAAGCACATGTTCACCATGAAAACATGTCTTGTAGTATGATTTGAAATGTAAATAAAAGGGTTTTACCACCTAATATGCGAAATGTTTGGTGTTGGGTGTTTGTGAATTTTTTCCGCAATTTGCCTTTTTGGGACTACCAAAGGATTCTGAAACTTTAAAAATTTTATAAGCAGAAAAGGAAACAGTGATTCATGGCACAAACAGAACCTACAAGAGAAGGAGTTGCTGATTACACGTAATTTAGAAAGAATACACTGCTTATACAAGAGTCTAAAGAAAGCATAATGATATGTTATTAATGGAAGCGGGTCGTATTATTAAAAATCATGATATTCCATGCAAGTTCCGTTGTTTTTTTCATATTTGGTAGCACATGTCTGGTTATTACGGCCAGAGTATCAATCCGTTTCTTACGCTTGCTCAAAGAGTGACCAAATAGCACTAATTAATCTGTATTCAACTAATAAGGTGGAAGAACGTATGCTGAGTGTCCTGGAGTGTAATTAGAACCTTGAGCATGCGTATTAACAATTTATTACTAAATAACGATAGACAAGTTTTTAACTCATCATCAATCAAAATAAACTAAAAATAGCTCGAAAACTGATTGATCGATTCGGGAAATAGTAAAAATTTTTTATTCCATAATTTTTGCTATTACTAAAGCACTAAAATTTTTTATTTTTTACAACACATTCAGCTGTTCGTTCTTAATAAAGATCATTCATTGGCAATGCATAATTTTGAACTGGAGTAACCGTGTAAACCATCAATGAGACGAGCAATCATGAGAGGGGTCCTGATCATTCAGTTACGTTCACATGCAGGGGCTCAGGATATTTGATAGCTAAACAGGAATTGTTCTGCATCTGTGTTGTATACAACAAGAGAAATGTGGTGTTGTAAGTGCGCAGCAAAAAGTTGGAGGGGGTCATCGTGGTCAAGTGATTGAGCTAGGTTATCCAAGCCTTAACACATTCCTTGAACGTTTTAGAATTATTCGTGTAAACAGTGATGCATATACTGTACTCAAAATCGTTATTATATGACCATTCGATGGATGAAAGTGTTATGCTTTTCTAATAATCAGTGGTATTATTAAGGCACGCTTTGTCGATTTCCTCATTCAATTTAGCGATCAACAGGTTATTAATCGCTTTGGTAAGTTTTTCAGCTAAATTTCGTGCTTTGATCTTTATTTCTACAATCGGCGCAATTTGAATCAGTTGGTTTTCTTGAAGCTGCTAAAAATTTGTAACGCGCCTCTTTTGGTTCCTACAGAGTATTAAAACGATTTTAGTGAACATGATACGTACAATGAGAGGTATTGGTACGCTGTTCTCTAAAATAATCACATATTTGATGATTGCATGAGAATGTGTCTTCGTCTATCCTTTTAACTCGCATGTTGTCTTTGTCATCGCATTATTACAATTGTCTTAGTCAAGCAGTTCCTATGAACAAAAATAAATCCATTCAAACGAAATGATCTGCCTTATAACTTTAGCGTAACTATGCATGTACTGTTCTTTTATTTGGTAGAAAAAAGATTGGATTGTCTAATACGTATGGAACATGTACGATTGGAATCAAAAGTATTTGAAAAATAACAAAATTACGAAAAAAAAGAAAAAATGATAAGAAAACGAATCGCTATCAATATAAAAGTATTTAAGAAGAAATAAGTGCAGCCTTATGTCTGCATTTCATCTTCTATGTATTGCCTTATATTTTGTGAGCTCATTATGTGTTAACGGGTATAAAAACAGAAATGTAAAAAAAGGAAATGATGAAATATTGGATACCAGCTCTGCAGTTCCATTTTTGAATGGTAGTGATGAGCAGGCATTTGAACAACCATGCGCAAGCACGTCAGCTCAATCGGCAGGGGATGTTCCTGAATCTAAAGTAGAAGAGGTGGATGAAATGGAGGAGAAGTCAGGTCAATCACCGATTAATCAAAGTGATACAAATCTAATGTGTGTGACTGATACGGAAGACGAATTAGATGATGCTAATCCATCCGTTAACAGTGGCTCTGGCACACAATACGGATTGCGAAATCGAAATTTACCGTGTAGGGGGTATAACCATGGTAATACAATGCCACCATCACCATATAATAACAGTTCACAAGATGACATAAATAATGAAGTGTATGAAATGGTGCGAAATCGAAATTTACCGTATAGGATGTATAACCATGATAATACAATGCCACGATCACCATATAATAACATTCTATGTACTAACTGCAGAGTATCGCGAATGGAATCATCAGCCTGTCGACAAGAAACAGATTTAGATACTGTTGACTACAGGTCTTTAACAATACGCCTCTGTTGCTATTGTTACGCCCTTTTCTTTATTGCCATGCTATCTGGTATCGTAGTGGCAGTACTTAGATCATTCTTATTCTACGCAAATAATTGAAAACGTTATTCGTATGATTTCTTATTCTTTCTCGCACAGAATATTTCCTTACATTCATTGTTACGTGCATATGCTCACATTTTTTACAAGTTATTAATCATATCAGATTATATTCTCACTTCGTTTACCGTATTTCTTTAGTACACGGCATCAACATCTCATATCACTGAAGAGCTACGGAATTTGCATTTGATGTACTGCTGTGTAAACACATTAGACTATGAATGAGGATCGATGTGCTGGTAACACTGTTCCTTATACGCATTTATTCTGTGTTACGATGTCCCAAAGGCCTCTAATCCATTTACAGCCATGTGTAGGCACCAATTCCAAATGCAAGATAAGTATTGGTAACCCTTCAGATTAACCGTACAAAATTATTCGCTAATAAGTAAAAATCGAAAATTACCAATATCATAAGTATTTATAGCAGTGGTAGATGTTGTGTTAACACCTATCGATCAAAATGGAACTTTTCTAGCGAGCATGAGCTCAAGCAAAAACAACTATATTTTCTGTTTGAAAGTATAGCATGTGAATATTTATTGATTATTGTGCTAGTACTTTTTAATACGAATTAAATAATCAGTTTACTGATGTTTAATGAACAAAAAAGCACCGATATCAAATTTTCTTGTCTCTTTCATACTATTACGGGTATTTCGTCCATTGCATGTTATTACATAGCCATTAATCTGAAGTCTCGCTTTGAAATGCGAATCGCAAATATACTATCAAAACACATTTTGTGAATTTAAAGCGGTATGCCACAACGTTGAATTCCTGTTAAAAAGATATATAAAAACTATGGTGTTAAAAAATTGTTGATTGGTACATTCACGAAGTAAAGCATTTCTATTGTTCTTACAGCAATTTTTCGAGTCTATTTTCAGCGAATATGGCAATTCTTCGCCCACAATGTTGGAATATTCACCATTGTTGGATGAACTACCGCATCACAGGTTTTGGAAGTATCATGCACATGAGAAGAATCCGTTGCTCCTAAAAAGTTAATCAACGTCATTAAGAAGTAAGTGTTATTTCGCCCACCATTTTTACCATAAACTAATATTTATACATTTTTTTTCAAGTCTCGCGGCTTATGCCTTTACCCCTCTCAATGGACAAGTACGTGGTTGAGCACTGTATAGGTATCTCTCCACCTTTTCTGGAAAGATCGTGCACAAACTCGTTCACAAACACAACAAAGCATGACTACATCGGTGATCGTGTGTGCTCGTCCATTTATTTAATTCAATTGATTCCTTTGCACGCCAATGTGGAAAGCTTTGAGAATTTACATATCAGAGGGTATCAAGAAAATGTGCACAAGCGGTATAATAACATAGAAATGCATCTGAAGATGGATGGCTTGAAGATCTTAAACTTTAAAGAAACACGAATTGTCACTTTTAATTGCTACGATACCACCGTTTTGTACATTTTGTCGCAGAGTAAAGAGATCATTAGGCTGTTTCATTGCAGTTTTAGTGGCTGTCATACAACGAGAAAGGGCAAGCTTCTCTTGCACGAGATATGCCTGTTCGACAAATTCTCGTTCTTCAAAATTATGAGTGAGCCGGTGTTTTCGATCGACGTAAAGGTCATAAATATAAAAACTAAGAGCAAAACATGCAATTTACATTATAATTGGAACAATGTCGAAGAGAAGAAAAATTTGGAGACGTGTTATATCGAGCTGCTCGGTGAACGGTACTTGCTCGATCAGAACATGTGTATATTCTGCTTCAAAAGCTTTTCATCGTTCAATAATCTAAGTGCGCATGTTAACACGATGCACATTTACTACAAATCATCTATAAAGAGAGAAGATGAACAGAATGTTCTCGTGATCAAGAGGATAAATTTGCAGCACAAAGTAGGTAGCGCCTTCGCGTTCAGAAATAAGCCAAAAACCACCCATTCTGACGTACCTAAGAAGTCGTTTATTTCCACATTACATAAAAACGCAGAATTCGACATCAGAAATGACTACAATGCTGAAGAATTTCGGTATTTTTTGACGAAACGGATTGGAGAAATCATTGATACGAATGAAAGAAAGCTGAATTTGATGAAAAAGTGGAATGATTTTATAATATACAAAAAATCTGTGAGTGTGTTGCCCAATGAGTATGATTTAGTTAGAGAGTTTTCAACTATGCTGACCGACACCAACGATATCTTAGAAATTTTAATACTTTTTTACCATAAAGGTGTTTTAGCCAAAAGTGATGTATTGAGAATGGTTGACGAGCTATCGTTAGCGAAAAAATAACAGTTTACCTGCAGGATATAATTGCTATCGGAATAATAGAACGTTTACTGATGCAATTCTTCATTCCTGTGAAACATTTCATCAAGCTAATAACAACAAGTTTTACAAGCGATTTGATAAAGAAATTTGATTACTTTACGTGAGTAAAGCTTTAAAACAATATGTTAAGGTATTGTTATGTTCTCATGCCATTAAAAGATGTATTGCGTTATGTATCATTCAACTAAAAAAGTCTCTTATTCAAATCCTGTTATCAAATTTATACTCACTATAAGTAGACTATATCTTTGATATCGGTATTTATATCATCAATAATAAGATAATTACCTGTTGGATTACACCACGGACCTGATTCTAATAGAAACACAATTCGTAATATTTTCGTGAATGCCAATTTTACTCACTAAACTACCAGTGAAGAGGACATAACAAATTAAATGAATAAACTACCATGCATCAGTAGTGTTCAGAGATAATTTTTACGAATAAAAAGACAACTCCGGAGCTTATTGTTTAGTTCGGACAAATAGCAAAATTTTTCATTCCTCATCTTTTTATGAAACAAAAACTTAAAATTGTTATCCAACTCATTTTTCTAACACAACCTTAGCTATTATTGACAGACAGCATTAAATTACATGATTATTAAATTAATTATTGACCTTACCAAAAGATTCACAAAAAATAAAAGTGGCTTAAAATTACAACATGGCATATTAGATGAGGGTAATATCATTTCACAGGTAATTTAACTTTCCTCCGTTTTATAAATGGAAGTAGCACTGCTAGTATTTCTATGAAGAAGCTTTGAGTAAGTCATTGCGCTTCAAATACTTCCTATAAATGTTGAAAATAATTATGTGGCATTGCGATCCGCAGAGCTGCCATACGAATTTATTGCTCACCTACCAATATTTAATACGGTTTATTTATCTCTAAAAAATCAAGAAGCAGTACCAATACAATCAGAAATAGCCCAAAAGCAATAAAAGAGCCTATTATGATATATATACGATTCTTTCCGCGTTGTTCATCTCGTACCTTATTCATCTTCATCATCTCATACTCGTAATATGCGTTCAGAACGTTTCTGAGCCGCTGTTCTTTTTTCTCATTATTAAATTTGTCATCAAAGCTGTGGTACATTGTTTGTTCCCTGCCCAGGATACCATTTGTTTTGTTTTTAATTTTGCTGATATAGTGAGAAGTGTCATCACAATTTGTAGCATTATTGTGATTTTCTTTTATAGTATACACAACATCATTGTCAAGCGATTCAAACGATCCATGCAAAAAACTATTGCGTCTAAATTCTGTCAACTTGTCTTTCAAATCTTTAAGTGTAATTCGCGCTGGTAGCTTCTTCAACTCTTGGTCCAATATCAAACCATCATCTCCTGCCATTTGGATGTACCTCTCGACAATTTCTTGCGGTAAATAGCCGTTCCTATATTCCCTTTTTATTTTCTCCTCAAAGTCTTCCATGGGCACGTTTTATAAATTTCATTTATTCATACAGCCAGGGATCGGAGATCACAACACTTCTCATCGACCGAAACGTGTCCATAACTAAGTAATGTATTGTGTATCGGAACAGATATGGGTCATTCATTAGAGAACTTAACTTTTGCTGCTACTAGAGCGGTAGGAACTGCTGAATATGATCGTCTCAATGGACTAGCGATAAGCGAGAGAATGTGCGTAGGTATGTGATTAACAACTCTTTATAATGAGACTTTAGATATTACCTGCAAAGCATACAGGCTGGTACACTGGTATAGAAAACCCCCTCATTCACGCAAAAAAAGAGTCATATTGACCAATAATTTATTCAAATAGCAAATATTGGCCAGATTTCGGTACATTTATTGGAAATATCATCGTGTGTACCATCCTTTCATTGTTAAGGTATAAAGCAGCGGAATTAGCGGCAAACACTTTTTGCGCTAAAATAATGAAATACTTCTGAAATGAACATGGTAAGTAAAAATAAACTTATACCGCATGCAGTGTGATTTTGGTGGTAAAAATGTATGAGGCTAACAAGTTTAAATCACTGAATATTTGTTAAGTAAGGAATGCGTTCTGTGCATAGCAGTTAAACAGATATTTTACAATTAAAAGACGTAACTGTGCAATAAATGCATGTTTGCCATTCTAACTGGCATTACTCATCATCTTAACAATGGACAAAATGTTTGCTTCATTAAATATAACATTGGATGAACATCATGCTCAGCGTAACAAGCCTTATCCCACAACCCAGACTAGTGGTTAGACTCTATTGTTTAAGATTAGCCTGTCAACTTATGTTTATGGTGTTAGCCCATCTGACAGCAACAAAATATCGCTATCAACCAATTGAAAGAATAGCAGATATATTAACAAAATTTGCATGCGGGTGCAGATAAAATGAGGTGCATTTTAAAAAGTAATAGCGTGTTATTAAAATATAAGTGGTGTTTATCAGCTATTTTAATCATGATATTGCATTGTGCACAATCCAACTATCACTTCTATTCAGAAGGCATGTTTATCCTTGTCTTTGACAGGCATATAAAGATAAATGCACTCATTTTCTGATAAACAAAATCGTAAGGCAACAATTACACGCCATACATTAAGTTTGTTCATATTTACGGCATGTATTCAATGAAGTATCTTTACACCTCTCACATTACCGGTATTCATCAGCAGTTCGTTTAATCACCACTTTGTTCGTAACGGTGATCTACGCAGGAAATGGTATTTTTAATTATGATGAATTTACAGCATTGATAAAAGGAAATGAAATACTTGAAGAATTTGAAAGAATT